AATTCCAGAGAACTTGTAGATATTTTTAAAAAGAAAATTGGTCAATTTGAAGCAAGTTAAAATTTGGTTTTGGTTCTTATATCTCAAAACCGGTACACAATTTTAATGGACAGTTAACTTCTTTATGTGTAGAACCGTTAGAGGAATGTACAGGGTGGTCCAAAAAAAATTGGAACATTTGTTAATTGAACGCAAAACCTTTATTTTTCTTCTAAAATGTACCAAACTTTTACTGAGCATAGTTATAGTTCAGTCACTTATTCATCTGATGTAAAGTTTATATGTGAAAACCACAAAGTTAATGCATTAAACTAGTCGACATTTGATATGACCCCTCTTCTTCTGACTTACAAGTTGAAGCCTGGGGCTCAGATTTGTAAATATTCAATTAGTTTGCTGTTCGTTTGTTTTGTTCAAGCCATCTTAATTAAAAATTTCAGCTTAATCAAACTTCCTATTTGTTTGCCTTGGAAGATCAAATCTAGTAACATATTCAACATTTTTTTACCTAAATTCATGAGTATCAAGCATATTTTGATGGCTATTGTTGGTTGTATTACCGATTGAATATTCTCCAGAAAGAGGCCAGGGCAGTCTGATTTGACTGGTAAATGAAGCCCCCTCCCCTTTATTCTTCTCATATGAATAATATTCATTGGAAATATCAATATGTCTATCAATATCATAGAGAGAACACAAATGGTATATATATAATATATACCATAGTATATGTGCTTAGCGTTGGTTTTTAATGTGAATAACTGGTCAGTTTTGCCTTTACTGATAAGTGGGAACAATTTTTGGTCACTTGAGTAGCTGTGAGGGTTATGCGATCGCTCACCTCTGACATGTTCCTTCTTCCCTACTCTTAAATGAAAATGATCATTTTGGTATAATGTTTAAGTTTAAGTTAACACAATATTTTTCTGGCAAACCCCAGATGTAAATACCCTTTGTCAACTGAATATGATTTTATAAAATATTTATAGCAATTAACATGTGCATTAAAGCTTTGAAATCAATAATACTTGAAAAAGTAGCCGGAATTGACAAGTGTATATTTAAGAAAAGGGGGTCCTATCAAACATTCACTAGTTTAATGCATTAACTTTGTGGTTTTCACCTATAAACTTTACATCAGATAAATAAGTGACTGGGCTATGCTCAGTAAAAGTTTGGTACATTTTAGAAGAAAAATAAAGGTTTTGCGTTCAATTAACAAATGTTTCAATTTTTTTGGACCACCCTGTATATCCTAACTTTCAAGTAAAAAATTAATTTGTAGTGTTGAACTTTAAGATTTGTTTGTCACGGTTTGTGACCTATTTAAATGACCTTTTTAGAGCTCAATAGGTACACAGCCAATATAATTCGATACCGTTTCGGCATCGAACAAATTCGGCACCGTTCCGGCACCGTTTCGGCACCGAAACCTTTCGACACCAAAATTTGCTACCGGACTAGTCAGTCCATTTGGTGCCGAAATGACACCGAAATTTGGCACCGAAACGGCGTCGAAAATCAGATTGCATTTTGGGGGTGTATTTTGTGATTAAGTTGACCTATTTAAATGACCTGTTTGAATCCAAATATTCGAACCATTTTTGACATCAAATATCTCAAAAAATCCCCTAAAAATGAACAAATTTGCCAAACTTTGCTCCATTTAATTAATTTTTTGCCAGTTTGCTGGAATTTAAAGTTTAACTTTTGCCAAACAATTGCAAGAGCAAAATCATAAGACAAGTGAAATATCCCAATTTTTGACATATTTCGTTCATTCAGAACATTTAAGGGCAAAAATCTAGAACTTTTTTTCAAGAAAGGCCTGTTAAAATCCCTTTAAATTTTACGTTTTTACCACTTTCTGGTTAGGTCAGCAAAATAAATCCAAATAAATAGCTCAAGGACATTGTCCCCAAATTTAATTCAAGCAGAGGTTTTGTAATTCAATTGTCTTGTATTTTCCATTACTTGTACAATGTGCTCTTCAAATAAATAGGAGGCCAAAAAATTAGCATAAAAGTGAGTTACAACGAAAGAAAACAATTTTGAAAGTGACTTCTGACCAAAAATAGAGTTTTTTACCATTCAGCACGTTGGTGCATCATGTGTATTGCATCACTGAACAAGTAATAAACAAAACTCAAGAATATGTTATCATTAGCATATACATCATGATCTGTAAAATTTGTCAACTAGGGATATACTGTTTGGAATGGAAAATTACGATATAAACAATTTGGTTTTGATAGCCCAAAATTATTCATTTAGAATCAGTAGATAATATGAATCCCTGGCCTACCTACAAAGGCTTTTATTTTATTTATTTTTTATATTTTCTTTAAGTCCCAAAAACAACATTAAAATAATGTATTCAATGAATGTATGTCAGTTTTTCTGTAAAGATAGTAACCTTGCATGTTTAACTCCACTTGTCAAACCGCCCGCTTAGATCAAATGGCCTAGTCTGCATTTCTATGTATCAAACAAACTCCTTTTTATCCTTATTCATCAAAATGAATAGGCTTGGAACACATGTGAAATTCTTGATTGTAAATTAAAATTCAAACACAAATATGTTAGCAAACTATTGTCATTATATTTTGGATAAATGTAGAAGATATATTTCTGAGGTCATTGAAGGTGAAATCTCAAATCTAAAGTCAGATTTTAACTTCTGAGAACTTGTAGACGATTTAGAAAAAAAATTGGTCAATTTGAAGCAAGATGAAACAAGACCTTTTTGACCTTGAGAAATTCAATTTTTTTAACTTGAGAATGTCATTGAAGGTTAAAGGGATCAGATCGTCTGGATTTTTCTCCCGGACAACCAGTAATGTCCTAATATAACTGCTCATATAACATCATATATGCCTTAGATATATTTTGAGTCCATATCATGAGCACAGTTTTACCAATATATTGAGAAAATCAACAGGACAACCAAAGAACAACCAAATGTCTAGAACACAATAAGTCTAAAACAACATACAGTTTTTTTAGATTAATTAATATTCTACAACAATATAAATAGTTGAAAAAAGTAATATAAGTGCGCTTCTTTTATTTCAAAATGATCAATATATATGACTGATACTGTTGAAATGTATGTTTTTGGACGTTTTTTCATCTAATTTAATAAATAACGATGTTTTATTGAGCATCGAACTTCCCGTCTTCAGTCTTGGCAAATACAATCGGTTGCCGGGATATTGAGCCCAGGCAGCCAATCACAGATCGGAGCACATTGAAGCGGGCTATTTCAATTCTATCTTGAACATTTGTCGAATAAAAGTTGATGCAGGATCGAATTATGGCTGAGAACAATCATCAAATTGATACCGTTAATGAATTGTCTGAAGCCTCAACATTGGTAAGTCGATAGAAATACTTGTTTTATATAATATAACACAAAAATACCAGAGGGGTTACTCTAATTGTGCTTTTGGACGACCTGCTTGCTTTAAATCTATAGTCAGATTCGAACTGTTGAGAACTTGTAGATAATTTTGAAAATAGTTGGTCAATTTGAAGCGAGTTGAATAAAGACCTTTTTGACCTTGAGAAGGTATTTGAAGGTCAAATCCAAAGTCAGATTTGAACTTTTGGTAACTTGTAGATGATTTTGAAAAAAATTGGTCAATTTGAAGGAAGTTGCAAAATACCTTTTTGACCTTGAAAAGGTCATTGAAGGTCAAATCTGAAATATAAAGTCAAAATTTGAACTTCTGAAAACATGTAGATGGTTTTGAAAAGGATTGAAGTCAGTCTAAACAATATTTGTCAAGTTATTAGAAGTTATAAGAATTTGTTACAGGTGCTGATCGCCAACCGCCAACCACAAGCCGCCATCAAAAAACAATAACAATAATAATGACATAATAATCAAGAGACTACCTCCATCAAGATTGGCAGGTCTGGCCTTTGCGCTGTTGTATAATTTGAAGAACATATATATTTGGCAATGAAATCATATTCTCAAGGATTTTTTGTGTTGGAGTCAAAGGTGAAAATAAAATGATAGTTTTCTAAACATTCTTACGAAAAATAGCTAAAATCATCCAAAAATGATATATACAGGGAGAAGATTATACATAGTGTGAAGTTTTGTAATCACCAAATTGTCTGTCCATGTCAGCATATAAAATTTGAACCAAATGTGATAACCACTAATTCTGTACAGCATTTCAGTTATAAATCAAATATTACATTTTTTCTGAAACAATCTTGTAAATTCTCTCTTGAACAGACATTCTATGTTCTAACTCAGCTTTAAATAATGTTACAAAGGCCCAATAGAACACCTAAAAGCATCTTGGTAGCTTCAATGGGCTAAGATTGGCCAGAAACCCAAAAGCTTAAGAAATCTGGTGGGGATAGCAAAATAACAACTAAGCCCTTCTTAAACCAAGACTTTATTGTACTTTGGGCCCGCCAGCCCTCGTGGATTAGACTATATGTAAAGACTCCCATATCATCCCGAACTTCTGAACCAGGGGTTTCATTAGCAGCAGGCAACGGGCGATTTTCACTGGTTGTTTTCACAAAATCGCCTGTTGTTTTAGGGACTTCAAACTTTTCCATCTTAAATTTATGATTTCCATTAACTTTGCCTGTTGTTTTAATTTATTTAGTACCCTGTTGTGAGAAAATCTAGTGAAACCTCTGTGAACTTTGCAACGTTTAGACATTATTACTCGCCTATAAAGTAAGGTACTGTACACATACAATGTCAATCAAACTGATGGAATAGTTTTGGAGTTCTGACCAAAAAGAGCTGAGTGAAGTGATGCATTTGAAAATATGTGACATTTTGTGAAACATACAGACATTATAGTTAACTTATAAAATCGGGAACCAGGGTATTTACATTTACAAATTAATTGATTTAATGCTTGCTTCTCTTAGAAACATTATGACCCAAAAGAGTTGAAACATAATTTTTGGCAATAAAAATGGCAGCTATTTTGAAAATATGTCCTTAAACATGCATTTACCTCTCATCTAGAATGTCCCACATTGGGCTAAAGGCCATTGTGTCTGCAGCTTTGCTATCTCTTGACCAATATGGTGTCACAGTCGAAGTACCTGGTGTGTCACTACAAACACTTAAACATTGCGGTGTCACAGCGGAAGCCCCAGGAGTAGCAGGACTGTGAACTGAAAAGTAATTTTCACAAGCAGCTTATTTTTGTGTTTTCATTAATTTCGAAAACATGTATATACACAAAATACAACAGAATCAAAATTCAAATACATGTAGCTTTAATTTAGCATGATATAATATTTGTGAAACTTGTGGGATTCTAAAGTGTTCTTAAATATTGAAAGTATTTCAGTTAGTTTCAGGTGATAGTGGGACATAAAACCCTTTCTTGAAAGCCTGACTAAGGATGACCCATTAAATCGAGAACAACAAGAAATCGGCAACTCCACGGAGTAGCAAATCCACATGAACACTACATAAACTAGAAAAACAGCAACTCCACAGAGTAGCAAATCCCACCTAACAAAACATGTTTTGATAAATAGCAGCCATATAAAATTTGAGCCAAATCCATCTACTGGTATTTGAATTATCAGAGATTATGTTTTTATGAAACATGGTTGCCATTTTGAAATTCAGCTGTCATCTTTAGATTTCTTCTTTAGTAGAGCTCCTATGTCCCTAGGCATCAGCATGTAAAATTTGAACCAACCCATTCAATGGTATTTGAGTTACCAAAGATAACATTTTTAACACCCCCTCCTGCCTGACTGAAAGCTGGCTATGCCCCTGGATATAGATAGAGTGTAAGTGCCAAAGGGAAAGTACCAATGGTTACAGGTCACAGCGAGATAGTGATATATAGAAGAATACCTGGTAACATAGCTGAATTGGTAAGACATGGTGTCTGTTTAGCTCCCTGCTTATGTTGACTCGAACTGAATGAAGATGGCGATGATATCTTAAATGTTATCTGATGTTTAACATCCATTCCTACTTTCTCGTCATATACAGTCTCATGGTCAGCTTGTTTTCTGACATTGGGATTGTGTTTGAGCTTAAGAATGGAGCCCTGTTTGGTGCATATGGGGCTTGGTGGCAGGATGATGGCTGTATCAGCATCTGGATCACTATCCTCATCTGAAAGAAAGCAAGGAATGGTATTAACTATAGCTGTAAAAAATGTTTCTGAAATAATATGTTTATTTGCACAATTAGTAAAATTCACGAACACATTTGTGGGGAGTTACTACTTAATTATTCAGATCATTTGCAGGGATTATTATGATGACAGCATGAAGAAAGTTTGTTCAGCATGATTGGATCTAAAAATCAACTTCAGCCACCCTTCCTACAATGTTTAGAATCACTACTTTGGAATGTCCTTTTCGATATCATTACCTTATTTTTTAACTTCAAAGTACTTTATAAACTCATGATTTTCACTATATGCATTAAGACTTAGCCTTACCTTGATCATAAAAAATAAGACTTAGCTAAAGAATAATACTGTCACTTACCTTTGTCACTTACCATTGAGCCCAATATCCAAGATATAAAAAATGAAATGTAAAACACACTTACTTTCTTCATAAATTCTGGAAGTTTTGATTTTGAGCACCATGCTCATAAATGCAATCTGCACGAGATTCCACGAACTAGCCTTGACATCTGATCATATTCATTTTTCATACATTGACGTGAAAATTGCTAATTGAATTTCATCATGCATGAAGAATTACTACTTTTTTCATGGCCTGACTGCGTTGCTATAATTTGAAAAAATAGTACCGTGGGTACTGGGCTCACGTAGTGTTGCTCAAAAAGAGAAAGGTGAATGATAGCTAAAATTGCAGACAATAAACAAGACCGGAATCCTATCGACAGAGGTCTTAAAACATGCCACTATCGTGTACTGACTGAGAGACAGATGGACAAATCAATGTTCACTAAAATGGTGACAAAAATGGTGGCCATTTTGAAAATAGGCGAGCTTTTGAACCAGGAACCATAGAGGTTTTCTGTTGATGTTTAACAACCATTACTTAAAACAGGAATCCTATCGAAAGAGGTTTTAAACTGTGCCATTATTGTGGACTGACTAAGAGACAGATGGACAAATCAATGTTAACATAAATGACTGAAAATAAAAAAAACAGAAATAATTTTTTTGTAACAAATTTATTTCATAGAAGTAAAACACTGACATTGATTTTTAGCAGGACACCTGAAATTATTTGTAAAGCTACCAAATGGTCCAAAAGTGAAATTATTTTGCGAGGCAAAAATGGCGGCCATTTTGAAAATAGGCGAGCTTTTGAACCAGGAGTCAAAGGGGAGTTTTCTGTATTGATGTTGAACAGAAATAACTTAAAAGGATATCCTATTGACAGAGGTTTTAAAATGTGCCACTTTTGTTGACAGACAGAGGGACAAGTGAATGATTGCAATAGCTCACCATGTGAGCTAATACTACTTCAATCGATGCATAACATTAAGGTACAGCTGGAAAGTAACATTTTGGTAAAAAATTGCTATACCTGCACATGTTATTTTCTGGTACAAAATTAAGTATGAAGGCATGTGTGTATTTCCTTGCTTTTTTCAGGAAAGTTTCATTACACTGTCTACTTTTAGTAAACCTGGAAACAGGTCAATGGTAGCTCCTGTGTTGTCTGGAAACTTTGAAAGAAAATTTGGAAAAATAGCAAGTGTGAAATATCAGAATTTCCTGGAGTTCCCATTGAACGCCTACCAGATATTCTAAAAGAAGACAATGTAATGATACTTTCCTGAAAAAAGCAAGGAAATTGATACATGCCTTCATACGTTATTTTGTATCAGAAAATAACATGTGCAGGTATAGCAATATTTTACTAAAATTTTATTTTCCAGCTGTACCTTAATGTTATGCATCGATTGAAGTAGGGTAAATGTTTCCAAAACTTCTTATCTTACATTTTTACAAAAAACCTTTATAAAGGACTGGGAATATCGAGTTTTGCATAGCCATTTATCCATAGATCCCGGCCAGATTCTTGTGCAGTAGGATCAGTAGCTCAATAAATATTCCTCAAGATGAGACACCTCAGAAAATTTCAAATTTTAAAATGACGATTATGGAGCCATTTCTGAAAAATATGAGACAAATCATACCTCATTCGAAGCATCTTGTTATTTTTTAACTTTTTTATCACCAATGACCGTTATTCAAGCAATGCTGCGTTGATAAGAGGCCAAAACAGTGACATTTTATCGCCGGACTCTTGTCTGTCCAAATCTGAATGGTACTCCTGTGGTTCCAGAAATGTGACGTCATCAGTACAATGATATTTGGACACACAAGAGTCCGGATCTCAAGAAAAATATTCAGTGTATTAAAAGTCAAATAACTGCATCCATAGGTTATTTACTCGAACCAAACAAGTAGAAATAGAAAGATGAAGATCTCAGCCCTAAAATAAGTGCAAAATGTGTCATGGGATGGGGAACCAGGTACCATTTTGTATAAGGAACATTTTTTGAAAGGAGGTCATATTTTTTTGAAATTTTCCAATTTTAGTGTCGTATCTTGTGAATTATTCTTTGACCCTATGAGATCCTACTACAAAACGATCTGGCCAATATCTGTGCATCTATCTAAAAGATGGCTACAGTGGGGACAAAAAATAAAACTCAACCCTCAAAAGTTGTCACAATGAGTTAAATTCTAAATTTCATGTCTCAAACTCTCCCAAGCTGTAGAAAAATAATTCCCATTCACTTTAAGTAGCACAATAAATGAATCCAAAGCTTCATACCTGCAAATGATGGATAAATCCCTACCACATCGAATGAATGTTTTCGTGAATCGCCATGTTTGTGATCCAAAGAGGATTGACTCCCAGAATGCAACATCAGGTAACCTTATTTAGTCGTGACAGATTTCAAAATGGCGGAATGACATTTTGAAAGCTGACACGTGTCATGTTGCATTCTGGGAGCCAATCCACATTGGCGACGTAATCGGGCTCCAAAATCACCTCAACATTTGAAGAGTCGGCATTAACATGTGAAGTTGACCCAAGCTGCCCATTGGGGGTAGTAATGGGTGACACTCAGATATAATGTATACTCACTGTGTCTCATAAGTCGGCACCGGCTGGTGATGTTACAAATTGTTGTTTTTATTATGTATTTTATATGTATATTGTAATATCAGTGACACAAAAATAAACTATTTTAAACTAAACTAAACTAAACTAATGTCCACTTCAAATTTTTAAGTTCTTATTTGTCATTATGGACACAAATTCCACTATATATGGACTTACTTGGATGGAGAAAATAGAGCACTGAATACACTGAGGTAAGAATTTATTACATGAGCGACAGCATGTAATTTCCATAGCTTTTGTAATTCATTATGTCCCCCACTGTATGTGCAAATATAGTAGATCTAATTTCCAAAGAAGTGCAGAAGTTCATCAAACACTCAGAGATTCATCTGACATACTATATCTGACATATTTATAAAGTTTACATGCTATTTGTAATAAATATTTTGTATAACCCTAGAGGGTTATAACACGGACCTCTGCCAGATAAGCTCCTCTGTGTCTAGGCTCAATAAATATACTCAAGGACAAGACACGACATCTTCGGAAAATTTATTTTTCCTTGATTTTGGAGTCAGTTTATCAATAAATATCACATGCCATACCTCAAACGATGCGTACTGTTGTTAGCTTCAACTCCAATCACTAAAGGCCAAACATCCAAGAAAGCGTCTGTTGATAAAAGCATAAAATAAGCGAGCATATATTTAATGGAGCACTTCGGCTATCTCTGTTGTTCAAATGATTATTCCCGAAGTCAAATGCCTTTTCTGAGACTGTGACACCACTCCGGATGACGTCACATCAGAGATTGCCGAGAAGTCCCATGACGTTTCTTTAAACTCCCGTAGAAACAATAACGACGGTTTATTAGGCTACGCGATTCTTTACTTTCATTTGCTGTTTGTTGCGATGTGACGTAATTTGAGAGACGAACAACATCGGACACTGCCGAAAATTACCGAAGTGCTCCACTATCTTTACGCTCTGAAAATTTGAAATAAATGTCCCGGGAAAAGTCGAATTACAACGTCAATAATGGATATCATGCAACCATTCAAACTAATACATAAAGAAGAGATTACAGGGTAAATATTGATCAATTTATGTCTGACAGATGGAAAAAATAAAGGTCAGTACGAGGGTCATATTTTTGGGTGGTCATTTTTTTGATGTGCCATTTTTGGCTCGTGTCTCATCTTCCCATTTATCCTTTAAGCCTACTACCATTAGGGGCTGGATCTGGTTCCGGATCTGTGGGTTATAATGGTACTTTTTCACTGTTACCTTCTAGGTTAAATAAAATGATTAGACTAAAAATAGTAGAAAATCTAATAAAAATTTGACAAAAAAATAAGTCGGACGGTGTTCAATCTCTCTGCTGAGACCAGAGAAATTAAGACATCTACAGTGATCTACTATATATAATCGTGCATGAGGGAACATTCAACATACCCATTATGATCTCAATTATCCATTTAACTGAATATTGAGTTAAAATAGCTTGTTTTTCTTTCGGAGTCATATATTTTTATCCGCCATGTTGAATTTAGATTTCGCGGCTACTACGTTGATAATGCGAACAACTAAAAAGTCCAAATAAGAGAGTTCGTACTATTTTCCCCTAGTAAGCTGATCATGGCGTAGAATAATGGAAATAGCGTCATGAATCCCGGGACAATGAATCTCGGATCCAAGTACGTCATTAATGGTCGAAAATCAAAATATTGACAAATTTATAACCTAAAAGGCCGAAAGATTATGGGGCAAATGCTGAAACGGGGGTTGTCAACATATTGTATTAGCTTTGATCTCTTAGAATCCGTTGAATCCTGAGCGATTGGAGTTGTTTAGATCACATGGCGTAGAATAATGGAAATAGCGTCATGAATCCCGGGACAATGAATCTCGGATCCAAGTACGTCATTAATGGTCGAAAATCAAAATATTGACAAATTTATAACCTAAAAGGCGGAAAGATTATAATGCGGCAAATATTGAAACGGGGGTTGTCAACATATTGTGTTAGCTTTGATCTCTTTCCGTTGAATCCTAAGCGATTGGAGTTGTTTAGATCACTTAACGAATGATATGAAATGATGCGGATTTGGGTTTTTTCAAAGTTTATAATGGCGGCCAATGGGGGATTTTAGCAAAATATCCCGAAAATTAAATCATTAAAAGGCCGAAAGATCTGTGGATGGATTTTGCTGTTTTATATATCAAAATGAACACTTCGTCGGGTCTAACAAAGATCCGTTGAATCCTAAGAAAATAAATGATTTGCTAAAAAGATATTAAGATTTTAAATTTTGATGAAGACTGCTCTCCATTGAAATCTTTGGACCATGAAATGTCGATTTACGCGCATGCGCTGTGACGTTATTTCCATTATTCTAAGCCATGTTAACGAATGATATGAAATGATGAGGATTTGAGTTTTTTCAAAGTTTATAATGGCGGCCAATGGGGGATTTTAGCAAAATATCCCGAACATTAAATCATTAAAAAGCCGAAAGATCTATGGATGGATTTTGCTGATTTATATATTAAAACGAACACGTCGTTGGGTGTAACAAGGATCCGTTGAATCCTAAGAAAATAAATGATTTGCTAAAAAGTTATTAAGATTTTAAATTTTGATGAAGACTGCTCTCCATTGAAATCTTTGGACCATGAAATGTCGATTTACGCGCATGCGTTGTGACGTTATTTCCATTATTCTACGCCATGTCAAAAGTTCTTCGTGACCACAATTTCTCGGAAAGCTGTAAATCATTATTTTAGAAACAAATTTTGGAAATCCAAGGCCCATTTTCTTGATAATTTGGCCTAAAATTTAAATAAAGCCTTATAGGCCCAGTAATACCCAAAAAGGCCCGTCCCAGGGGGAGGTAGTTCAACGTCGTTGAACTCAATAACGGCGTTACATGCCCGTAGCCAGCTTTTTGTAAGGGGGGCTCGAACCCCCCTCCTCCCGCTACCCCCCCCCCCCCCCAAAAAAAAATTTCCCATGCTAAACCAAGCCCCTTTGTATTGTAAAGGACAGTGGCGGATCTGGAAGCTAACAAGGGGGACCCACATTTCAAGTCAGGAAAAAAAATTTGGGTCTAAATTTTGTGGCCCGTTTATGTTATACAAGGGTGTCGCCAGTTTTCAGTCAGAGTGGGGGCGGGCGATCAGCATTGGTTTTCAGTCGTGTGGGGTGCGATTATGGCATAAAGATTTGTTTTGAATTTACGAAAATTGATGCAACTTCCTTCAAAATTACAATGTAATCAAAGAACCAATATTGTCCTAACACCTAACCCTAATTAATGACAAATTAGTGGAAAACAACAGGATGTTTTTGAAAGGTGTGAATACAGGGTTTATCTTATTAGAAAAGAACTGAATGTTTTGTGTGAAGGTGTGAACTAGTCAGTTTGTGAATCAAGAATTGATTGATCATTATTGGATTTTAGGATGTAATTGGTTTATCATTATTGTAAATTACCTGGATGTTTTTGACTTGGATTAAAAGGGTGTGAATCCCGGGGTGTGAATCCAGGAGATAATTGGTTTGTCCTTATTGGTGAATTAACTGGATGTTTTTGATTTAGATTAAGCTTACTATCATTTGGGGAATATCTAGTAAAAATCTTTCAGCTTTCAGCTTAATTTTAGTCACCCATAGTGGATATTTAAAGATATCCATTATTGGTGACCAAAATGAAGCTGAAAGCAATGGATCGCATGACTTTTCCTTTGGGAAAATAACATGGGAAATATTGTTTTCCACTTGTTCAAAAAGGAATTACCCTTTCCTTTAAAGGGGTTAACTGTGTCAAGACGCAACATATTGATGTAACAAAAATTGCAGAAGCAGTGGTGGAAGGGGTTGAAAATTAGAACAACATTTCAGAAAAACATGTGGGTGGGTTGTTTGCATCTTCCCTGTCTCAATGTCGAAATTATCTTATCATCTCTATGAGTGCTTTTCCTGGGGGTAATGCATCAATGTGCCTTTTTATATCCTCAGAAAATAGCCAAAATCCAACATATGACTGTCCGAAATATTTTGCGATACTTTCCGTCTTCCTTTTCAAAGTTGATAAACAACCCAGGATAAACAATTTTTGAAGCCATATTTTTAGATGTACTTGAGGTAGATTTCACTGAATTTTGGATACTAATGACGTAAATCATGTTTGTACTACTCGCATCTAGTCTATTACACTCTTATATAAATCGGGAGTATCTCGCTAAAAATCGGAACTAGTTTTTAACGAAAATCGGTAGGCTACCGATGAAAAACTGGGACTTTTGTCTAAGAATCTGGGGAATATCGATAAAATCTGATTCAGTGTTTACCATTTGGATGTCATCTTGTTGTGACTTTCTGAAAATAATACAATAAATATTGTTGAAATCTCCATTTTAACAAGTGGTCTAAGTCAGACTTGTTCACCTGTCTCTTCTATATACGACTTACTATTACTTTACTCTTGGCCTATGGTCGCAACGTAGCCGTCTTGACAATGGTAGGTTATTTGATAGTCTTCAGAAGCTCTTCATTAACATAGATTGTTTAGCCCTAGGATTAACAATGTTGCTCTTTAGATTCAATCTATTGTCTTTGATATTATTATGTTAGTATACCTCAAGTATGGGCGGAGTATCAGAGCATTAAAACATGGCAACGATTGAAACATTTAGGAAGGATATGTTCATGAGGCTTAGGATTTGTTAGCTTTTGGGATAATACATTGTACGTGAGTTTCAGCTTTCAGTAAGTTGGACTCGGAGTCACACGGTGTCACCTGAATCTTTTTCAAATAAGTTTTAAGTGACATTGGGCAATATATATCAGGTTACAAATTCAAACAAAAATCGAAAAGGTTTTAACTTTAAGAGTGGTTTTGGTTTAATAGATTCTCTTTCAACCATACCTTACTTTAATTAACCTATAAGATGTATATTTCTATGTCAAACATAGGCTATTCCAAACCAATCGTGATACACAGTGATCTTGCCATTTCAATTTTCAATGCATGCTGTTTTCTATTTGTAAGGCAATTTGTTCGTTCGATATTTTAGCCGCTCGTTCAAATACAAACGCTGTTAAAAATATAACGCTCGTATAATTAACGAATGTTGTCGTAAAACAAGCCACGCCTTCTCTGTCAAACTTTATCCAATCATCGCCATACTCCGTGGCATTGCAGGTCTTCAATTTATTCCCGCTACTGCCATGAGTTCACAAGCAGACTTCTGAAAAAAACTAATTAGCATTTCACCGTCGGTGAGTCTACTTCGAAGTTTGTAAAGAAGGAGTTTTGAAACTTGAGTATAAATTCTGATAGACCAGATTACATTTAGTAGGAGTTCAGCTTACGGTTGGTTCAGATGCCAAGGGACTTGTAGAAGATTCTACCAAACACCAGTCGAGTAATAACTGAAAGAAGGCACAATGGCCTGTCCTTACCGAGATGCGTGAGTATAATTAATCTAAATTATTTGACATGTTTGATAAAAATAAAATTAAAACGTGTTTTTGTTTTAATCTGCATCTATACACAATACTCCATTATTTTTTTTCAATTTTACCAATAATTAGTGAAATCTTTAACATTTTTTCAAAATGTTTATGTAGATAAGGGTAGACTTTAAAATCCGGTCCAACATGCGGTTGGAAGATAAGGATGACACTAAAACTAGATCTAGTCCAGTATTAGAAAAGTACACTGTAGGAGAAAAAGAATGACACGGTAGAGTCTACTTATAATAGAATAATAAAAGGGATAGAATTTTGTAGTATTAATAGAATGGCCTATTGTCTCTATTTTTTGAAATATCTTATAATTAAGCCTTAATAACTTTATTTTCATATTTTGTTGATATTTTGTTTTTGTCAGTTTTACTAGATTAGTTTAGTTAAAGATGTTCAAGAACTGATTAATTATTTCAATTTACAAATTACAAATCGATTATCTAAAAATTAAAAAGCATGTCTAATAAATGACATGCTATACTTATATATAACAGATACTTAATAGATATATCATACAAATTTTAGAGTCAACCCTTACAGATAGAATGAGATAAAATAGATGAATTATAGTGAAAGAAAAGAAAACATAGAATCAGAAACAAATAAACAAAACGACTTCATTATTGGATGAACCCTCCTGGGATGAGCCTAAAATACAATTCATAATTTTTCCACATGATTTAGTGAATGTTTGCTAATGTTGATTTAAAGTTTAAAACATTTATCACTAAGGGAAAGTTCATTATTGGAATTGAAATGTTTATCTTTAATGTAACCTTAAATTGCACAAACATTTATATTGCCATAACCTTATTTGATCAACCCCTACTTTGAACATACTGTGAAAAAGTTATTATCCATGTATCCAGCAGGTTGTTAAGAATCGAAACCATTCATCAAAGAAATGTCATGGTGAAGCTTGATAATTTATGAATAATGGAACTATCCTGGTGCACATACCCTGCATGCAGAGTATAGTTACTGAAGACATAGCTCTCTTTTAAGAAGCAAAGTAGAACGAATGCAAATGGTAGTTACACATGATCTTCATTTGGGTGTTTTAATAGGTACATGGACCTTTAACCTTTGATCACCTATAAACAAACATATAAGTGAGCAAAGTGCAATAAAGTGTCATCATTTTGTCATGCTTTTATAGTGTCATCCTGTTCATTCAACCGATTAACACGTTGGGAAAATATATAATTCAAAATATTTTGTTAACAGTCTGCGTCTAACCTGCACAGTAGAATTAAGAATCATATTGCACCATGTTTTGTGATTATTTAAGTAAGTGATAAGTGGGTACCTCCCATTTCCTGGGCCCAGTGTTCAGAACCACTATAAGCTTACCGTAACAACTTAATAGTAATTAACTTTTGTCAGTTGTTCAAAGCAAATTTTAATTACAATTAAGTTTTTTCGCTATTAAGTTAATAGTGGTATTGAACAACTGGGCCCTGACCAGTTCAATAGAAATAAGACTGCTTTGTTGAAAACTCAATGTGCTGATATTTAAATGTACAAATAAAACTTGATCTTTCAGTTTGTGTTAAGATTTAGGGGCAATCCTGGAAATCAAGAGGGGGCGGGGGGAAAATTTGAAGAGAAAAAATAAATATAAAAATAGGCTTTTAGAAATAGCGCCACTTTTTCCAGGAAGGTGGGTTTAACCTAAGGGCACTGAGATTCTATTGAAATTAAATTTCCACCAATTTTCTCATTTTTTAAGTACAGAAAAATAACTTGGAACCCTTTAGAACGTATACCTTCCTTGATACCAGACATTATAATAGTAAACGTTAGCACTATATAAAGAAAACTTTTTCAAAAATTTCAACAATAAGCCTACTTTAACAAAATAATCCTTGATCTCTTTATGGGCTTTTTAACCTTTAATGAATTATGAACATACTAGTAGTTGGAGAAACCCAAATTGGTTCTGTAAATAAGTGAAAGACACAGGCTTCTTAGTACATTTAAAGCCCCCATATAAAGTTTAAACCACTTTGGCTTATATTGTAGTCTTACCCAATGTTATCAAAGTGTGATATATGAAACTTTTTTTTGATTTCAAAAAGTGGACATGGTATTACATAATTTTTTTTACTGGATCCTGACCTTTACTTACTCTCCATGCAACAATGGCCTTAACTATAATGCCTTGGTCACATTTGCTCTGATTTTCACTACGGTTTGTCTCTCGTTCCCTTCAGTCACTCGTGAATATATCATATACTCACTTGAGTATAAACACGATATACTGAATCAACCATTATATAACCTCATAAAACATGTTTTTCTCATTTATTTTACTTTTCAACCATTTGCTGAGTCTGGGAGATGAAAATTGATACTTGATAATGATAATAAATTATATAATTTCAGTAATTGTTTTAAAATGTTATACACTTATTCACTACAATGTCTCAAATGAGTGATTATTGAAAATTAGTAAAACTTAATTTATTATTGAATTTATATACAGTATTTATGTTTTGCAAAATATTATTTTTCTCTAAAACTGATTGTGCATTGTACACCTGCGCATTCTTTGCATACATGTACCTGATTAAGTGCCACTGAGCCTATTATTCCTAAAAATAGGTATGGATGGCCATTCTTAGCTTTAAATTGGTAGATTCTGATCATATAGTAGTAGAAGCTTTTAAGTACCTTTTGTTCACAGGCAATTTAACTAGTGAAAGGATTAAAAGGCTTAGTGGTAGTTTTATGTAAGGCTTGAATTAGACTTTATGTAATGCATGTAATATATAAAAGATCAAGCTGTCAGTGTAAGATTACATCAAATCTTTTAAAGGCCCCATGCAAAGTTTGAAAATCTTATTATTTTTAGTAAGCAAATATTATTTGTCATATCTTAAAAAATTGTTTGAGACATTTTTCGAAAAAGTAGACTTTTTTCTGAATCACTTTTATGAAGTACCATTTTTAACATGCTATGGCAATTACTGCCACAGAATCAACAATTTGACCTATTAAGGAAACTACAACTTTTAGTTTAAGGCAGATCTGCATGTTGGTAGATTTTATGTTCTTTTGAAAAAAACGGTGAGAAAAGCAAAAGGTCATCAAAATGATAAAAGTGCAGTCTGACCTTGATATAAACCCAGGCTAAATAAACTTACAATTATCACTATAACAAACTACATATTCTTCTGATAAATCCCGTTCTAAAGTTCAAACTAAAGTTCAGACTTGTGATGGTCTATTGGCATCTAAAAACAGCATTAGGTAGATAGAACAGCATTTTGAAGATCAAACAGCATTAGGTAGGGTCGAACAGATATTTCAGGCCACTCAATACATTAAAACACAGTCTGCGAAAGTTTTAACATGATCGGTGCAGCCTTAACAAAAGGGCAGTTCTATCATTGTCATAACAATTTATATACTTATACATACAGGGCGATATAACCATTACTGCGATACTCTTCTTGAAATTGATAACATAAAGACAATGGCCGTTAGTTCAAGTAAAAAACAATCAAGATATTGTTACATTTATCAGTCAAAGAATATAAAAAACAATAAAAAAATTGTGACATTTTGTCTGTCAATGAATATCAAAACAATCAAAAAGTTGTTACATTAAGAAATTGTAACATTTTATCAGCTAGATGAGAGGCCATAAAAGAATAGTACCTGAATACTTTAAGAGAACATATATATGTATGTGAATCTAACTTTGACTACTTTGATCTTATCCTTATCTATAACAAAACCTAGCTCAGGGGCTGGGTCAATATTTCAATATTCTTTAAAAAAAACGTAACTTTATTTAGTGAGGTCTTAACCATTCCCCCTTTTAACGAAAGTCAGAATTTTGATTTGTGTGCAGTTTAAAATGAGTCAAAATGTTGATTTGCCTGCAGAGTACAAGGACAACCCGATAGCATGCGATCTCTGATACTGCTATAAACAACACATTATAAATTCTTTTTATACATGTCTGTTGTTGAGTATACTTTATAATAATTACCATGTCTGTCAAACCAGACATTGCAGAATATGAAACACAGGGAAACTAAAAATCAATATCTGTCACCTAATTAAATAAATTTTATCTCCCTCCCATAGCATAATTAATTACGTTTTTTAACGAACATTGAAATTTTGACCCAACCCCTTACTTGTCTTATCTTTGAAATGACGATTTCTCATTTTAAAAACTACCAACAGTTTTACTTAAAAGAACTGATTGTAAAACCCTAAGAATTATTACCCTGCTGCATGCAGAGTCTAGTTATAAACCACCCTCTGCCAGTAGTAAAGACCTTATTACAGTTTAGCAGCCCCGCCCCAAAGATTGGTGCCTGTGACAGCCCGGGTTATAAATCATTTCAAATTTAATAGTTTCCAACTTTTTTGTGGACAGTGTTTTGAGGGAGGTGTTTGGTGGTCTACAACTGTAACAAATGGCAGGTGGTCAGATTTTACATGTTAATACCTTGTATCAAAGAGGTAACATGCTGAAATTTCAGCATATCTTAAATATAATTGTGAGTTTACTCAAAAAGTACTTTACTTTGAGCAGGACAAATTAATCAAGTTTGATGTTGATCAGTTCTAAATGACTCAAATAGATTTGTCTGGCCTTTTATGAACTGACCTATTGTAACACCCTGGGACACAGAGGATAGTCATAATTCCCAATCTCTGACTAGAAAAAATTAAGTTTTTAAACGGATAAGATTTCAATAACTCAAAAGCCAGAAAATGAATGCAGAAAATTCTTTGGCTGCAATTTGATTTGGTTCCTGGATCTTTATTGATCTTTTCACATTCAAAAGCTAGACTTTTTTCTTTCTATTTAGAGGGTATAAATAAAACTGTTTTGATTTAGACTTAAATAAGGTATTGTTTTTGAGCTGCACTTATGAAAGATGCATGACGTAGATTGTCACATGGATTGAAAATTTCATTGATAAGATTGATTAAACCAGTGTATTCCTTCAGTCATGGAATACCTTGATGGATAATGATGCTCAGTGAGCCCCATATCCATCCAATGAATGTATTGTTTGATCCTAAAAGGGTTTTTGCACCAGAGCAATTTTAACTGATTGGCAAAGGTTACAAGAGTTCAATTCATAAATTTGATATTTTCAAGCCTTTTGTGAGAGATGATTAATTGGCCATATCTGGCCTAAAATCTAGAGTGATATGTTTGACTGGTCAAGATAACTTGAATTATTGTTTGTTTAGCGGAAATTAAAACTTTATATAAATGTACTTTTATCAATGTTTAAAAGTACAAATTGCAATTACTGAGGATGCCAAGCATTACAGTGAAAAAACAAATATTTCATTCTGTTTACCCAATCTTTCAAGAGTGATATTTATTGAGTGGATAAATGACCATGAGATAGTACAACATGCACTCACTGAATATTATAACCAATTAGTTTTGGTTTATTAGGCTGTTAATATTGTTTTATAGTTAAACTTGACTTACACCTTTAAGCCTAATGAACACTGTTGCTCTATACTGTAGATGTTCAATGTACACAGGGTTGTATTTTATTTACAGACAAATTTCTTTTTTTAGAAGAACTCCTAAAATGTTTCAATAACTCACAATTTTAAAAAGCATCCCAGGGACTCCAAAAAAATTTGATCTAGCGCTAGCACTAAGCTACATTATTCAAGTTTTTAACAAATGAAAAATAAAAATAAAATAAAATAAAAAAAAGTTTGGAGGTACTAAAACAATCAATAGATTTTAATGGGAAAAAAGTTATCTACTTGAAAGTAATGACTGTATTTCTATTTCTATTATATTTTAAAAGCTGAAATAATCTATGTTTAAAAAATGAATAAACGTTGCCATAGGAAATGTTAAATGAGACATTCAAGTGGTTGCATGTGAATCATGTTGTAATGGTTATATATTCTAAATGAACCAGGCACTAGTAATTCAGCTTGATAATTTGTCACGAAGTTTTATTTAAGTCCTCATTAAAATATCACATTTGATATGATTTGATATTATATTCAACTGAAAGAATACATTGATTTACCAGTATGGGTTTGATGGAACCCCAGAGGATAGTGAACCCTTGAACTATGTGTACATATTTCTAAACTAAATTGATCTAATTACCCTTACACCTTGCAAGCATGTGATCCTCATTATATCAAGAACAGCATGAGCCTCCAATGTCCCATCATGAGAAATTATCCATTTTCCTTCATTTTATGAGCTCATTGAGACCCAATTTAAAAGAATGATCAGTTCCTAAAAGATTTATGGTGTTTGGGGAGATATAGAGAATAGCTCCATCCATACATCAAATGGTGTTTGGGGAGATATATAGAATAGCTCTTTCAATATATCAAATGGTGTTTGGGGAGATATAGAGAACAGCTCCATCCATACATCAAATGGTGTTTGGGGAGATATATAGAATAGCTCTTTCAATATATCAAATGGTGTTTGGGGAGATATAGAGAATAGCTCCATCCATACATCAAATGGTGTTTGGGGAGATATATAGAATAGCTCTTTCAATATATCAAATGGTGTTTGGGGAGATATAGAGAACAGCTCCATCCATACATCAAATGGTGTTTGGGGAGATATAGAGAATAGCTCCATCCATACATCAAATGGTGTTTGGGGAGATATAGAGAATAGCTCTTTCAATATATCAAATGGTGTTTGGGGAGATATAGAGAATAGCTCCATCCATACATCAAATGATGTTTGGGGAGATATAGAGAATAGCTCCATCCATACATCAAATGGTGTTTGGGGAGATATAGAGAACAGCTCCATATATACATCAAATGGTGTTTGGGGAGATATAGAGAATAGCTCCATCCATATATCAAATGGTGTTTGGGGAGATATAGAGAACAGCTCCTTCAATACATCAAATGGTGTTTGGGGAGATATAGAGAATAGCTCCATCCATACATTTGGTTGTCCATCCATCTGTATGTCAGTCTGTCCATCCATTTGTTTCGGCTGCAATTTTTACTGTGTGCTACTTGGGGTTGTTGCTATAACTAGAAAAGAAGTAGAAACATTCTGTTCAAATTTTATATGTAAATGCTTGGGAGCACATTACACTCTATATTTAAACATCTAATTAAAAAATACAGTATGGACTTGGCAAAAACAATCAGGGCTTGTCCGGGATTCGAACCCGGGACCTCTCGCACCCAAAGCGAGAATCATGCCCCTAGACCAACAAGCCACTCATGTAGGTTTGTAAGTTATAATGAGTTAAAAAGCCAATTTATTGAAGAGGATCATTAAGACTAACCAAATACTCTTGCAGAGAAGGTTATGTTTAAGTTTATAAAAAGTCTGAAGAGCTTAAATGAAAACCATGACACATCGTAAGAAGTTTAAGAAAGCAAGCAAAAATATTTGTTATTTGAATGGAATATGTAACGAAACTCAAAAAGAGAGAAAACACAAGGGCTTTTTATTTACTGAATTTCCAAGGGCATGTGAAGCTGCTGCAACATGTTGCCAGCAGAATAACTCATAAAATCTTTTCATTTATTGGTAATTGGCTCAAGAATATATAAAAGCCATTGCTTCAATTACTGGAAACACTGCATGGTTGTTGAATATTTGTACTTGTAATTATTATAATGGTATTTGATTGGTCTATTTTATTTACTATATTTTGTATATTGCACTTTTTTTATTACAGTTTGACTAGTATGCGGCCATTTTGAGAAATTATGACCATTTTTATGTATGTTATATAACATGTTTTTTTGCTATTACTGAAAAAGTAATACAGCCATTTTGTTGAAATTGTACTACAAATAGTATTAAAAATGATTCGTTGACATAGTGCTCAAGATCACTGTTAATATTTATCAATGGATCAAGAAAACAAATCCTATAATGTAAGAAAAATGCTTTAAGAAATTGAGTCCATATTTTCCTTGAGAATGGCTGACCTTAATGCACTGACTGTTTCTTTTAGCTAAATTGCTAATGAAATTATCTCATACTTAATCTTTTCAGTGGACTGTTTAATACTTTTCTCATATTTAGAAAACTTCTGTTAGCCAAAGTGATTTGAACTTTACATGGGGCAAGAGTGTGTGGGGTTTGTAGAAAAAACCGGGTACCAGGTAGAAAATCCTCCATGCTGGGTTCAAACTTGGTACCCGGTACCCGGTTGAAAAAACTGGGTACCCAAAAAAAATGAAAAATATGAATATATAAAATAATTAGATCATTAGAAAACATATAAGATTTGTTTTCTAGCTCAATTTTGAAGGAAGTTACATACATTTTGTAAATTCAAAACAAATCTTACACGTTTTCTAATGATCTTATTATGTTATATATTCGTATTTTTCGTTTTTTGGGTACCCGTTTTTTCGACCGGGTACCTGTTGGCTACCAGATTAACTTACTATTTTATGGGCAACTCATTTAGATATTCCATTCCAGCCACTATTCCATTCTTATTTAAATGAGTTGCTCATAAAATAGTAGGTTAATCTGGTAGCCAATAGGCGATAGTTGCATTCATAAATACAAGCTGAATCCGGGATAAATTTTGGTATGCCATATAACCACAATTGGTGTCACCATTAGAAGTCAAATCCATCGAAATCACCACCAAAAGTAGTGACATCTTATCATTGTCTCTAAGGTTTATGTGGTGGCAGTTGGTGGTTGGCTGTGGTATGCACCGATGGTAAATTACTAATCGATAATCATTGATTTTAATTGATTCTAAAATAAATGATTGATATTTAACAAAATTTCCCAGCAATTCTCTAGTGGGTGATAATTCAATAATTCATTTGTTTTACTTTCATTTACCGTTTTACAAATTATATATATATTAAACATGTAATAAGTTTGGTAATTAGTTTATTTGGCAGTTTCAGTCTTAAGCTTGGCATGTCAACCTGACTAATCAGATCTCACTCAGTCAGTGACATCTGTCATATAAGCTAATACATGGCGGGATATTGAAGATTAACTTATTGTAAATCAGTTGAGTATTAAGAATCATATCGTTTAAACATGTGCCAATCAATTAATTGATGATTGAATAAGAATTCACACCTCTAGTGGTTGGTGTTTGATGGTTGGTGTTTGGCAATTGGTGTCCAGCTGTTGGTATTTGGTGTTTTGAACAAATGGACAAATTTGGTGTTCTGTAACAAATGGTAGGTGGTGCCATTTTTAATTTTAATGCCATGTTTATTGCTTGTTGCAGTGCTGAAGGAGATCAGAGTGGTGTCAACAATGTCATAAAAGGCAGCCGGGTATATGGGGAATATTTACAGGTAAGTGTACAATTGTATATAGTGGTGTCAACAATGTCATATAGTACTTTTGCAGTAGTTATTCACTTCCCCACCAATACCTCCAGTTGCTCCTTCCCTCATACTGAAAGATTCCAGCCAGTCTTTCAGTTCCATTTTAGTAGGATTCCTAACAAGGCACATATGGTCCGAGTATCAAAATTCTTCCATATACATTTTAGATTGATATCACTGTAGTCTATGGCCTGAGTATCAGAATTTTTTCAAATACATTTCAGATTGATATCACTGAAGTCTTATGTCCTGAGTATCAGAATTCTTCCTAATACATCTTAGATATCACTGAAGTATATGGCCTCAGAAGTATCAGAATTCGTCCAAATACAATTTTGATATCACTTTAACCTATATATTCCATGTTTTCCAGTTGAACAAGGTTCTAGATGCCCAGGACTTGGCAAGCAGTAAAGCAGGGAAGCCAGTCCATGATGAACATCTCTTCATAATAACGCATCAAGGTATAGTCAATAATATGGCCAAGTAATGCCTTGGTCACATTTGCTCCGATTTTCACTACGGCGCCCGGCCGATTGAGTATTTTATTCAAAATAGAATACAATATTGAACAAAACACTCAATCGGCCAGGCGCCGGCCGATGGATCAGAGCATATGTGACCAAGGCATAAGGGAGAGTGACTCTTTAAACATAGTCAAACATAGGTTTAGTATGGCCAAGTAGGGGGTAGACTTAAAAGTGGAAAAGGTGAGATACATCATACTCATTTAGGGTGAAAGTCTATTGATGTTTATGGACATAGTCTTCATGGGCATCCAAAAGACATGAAACAAATTATTAATATTTAAAAACTGATAATATGGTGTTATTTTTGTACGATTGTAGCATATGAACTATGGTTTAAAGGTGCAACAATTAGTGCAGGGGGGCCATTCAACGATCATCGACCAGTGTCAAAATATATTTAAGTTTGGATATTTCATCAAGACTAACATATATTTTTATCATCTACAAAGAAACCCCCTGGATGAACATTATTTCAGCTGATATTCCTCTTGAAACGTGGTGAATCTTAAAAATCTATAAGTGGGACTCCCTTTATAGAAGCTTTGAAATGAATTTGCACTTCTTAATGCTGAAATTGAGAGTTTATCCATGCATTTTAAGAAAATAGGTATGTCAATGAAGATGTTAAGCCAAATATTGACCTGATAGCTCAGAAAAAATAAAAAAATTTGAATTTTCTCTCTACAGTCCTTGTTGCCCCTTTAATTAAGCATATGAACTATGGTTCTTTTTGTATTTTTGTAGCATATGAACTGTGGTTCAAGCAGATAATATGGTGTTATTTTTGTATGATTGTAGCATATGAACCATGGTTCAAGCAGATAATATGGTGTTATTTTTGTAGGATTGTAGCATATGAACTATGGTTATGAACTATGGTTCAAGCAGATAATATGGTGTTAGTTTTGTATGATTGTAGCATATGAACTGTGGTTTAAGCAGATAATATGGTGTTATTTTTGTATGATTGTAGCATATGAACCATGGTTCAAGCAGATAATATGGTGTTATTTTTGTAGGATTGTAGCATATGAACTATGGTTATGAACTATGGTTCAAGCAGATAATATGGTGTTAGTTTTGTAGGATTGTAGCATATGAACTATGGTTATGAACTATGGTTCAAGCAGATAAAATGGTGTTATTTTTGTATAATTGTAGTATAGGAACTATGGTTTAAGCAGATAATATGGTGTTATTTTTGTAGGATTGTAGCATATGAACTATGGTTCAAGCAGATAATATGGTGTTATTTTTGTATGATTGTAGCATATGAACTGTGGTTCAAGGAGATAATATGGTGTTATTTTTGTATGATTGTAGCATATGAACCATGGTTCAAGCAGATAAAATGGTGTTATTTTTGTATAATTGTAGCATATGAACTATGGTTTAAGCAGATAATATGGTGTTATTTTTGTACGATTGTAGCATATGAACTATGGTTCAAGCAGATAATACTCGAGGTGGATTCAGTGAGGCAAATGTTTGCATCATCAGTAAGTACAACTTTCTCATTTGATATAGACTTAGTAAGGCATACTTCTTTATATGAATGTTAATAATATGTGCATCAGCAACATACATAAACCAGCAAACACCAGCTAAACCATTTGTCAGAAAAGCTCATCTTTGCATTCCAATGTTCTTCTTTCATAACCAAAGGGAACATGCAGCTCTAATAATTTCACTTTTGATAATTATACCTTTTTATATGTTAAAGGGTAACACATATCATTTAGCAAATCGAACGCTCATTTTTTGGTGTTGCTCACAGTTTAGTATAAAAGGTGTGATCCTGGAATATTACTCAAAGGTTCACAGGTTGAAGTCACTGCGTAAACACCTCTGCCTGCTTATGTAGGAATAGTATTAAAAGATCATTAACAAAAGGGAGATTTTTATTTTGACAAATCTTCTATTTGTTTTTATAGGAAAAATTGACATCTAGATTTACCCATCACATATTAGCACATAGCATGGTCTTATGAAATGATCCTGTAAATGAAACAAGGAAGTAAATGGATTAGTACAAGGATTTATATTGGCTTATGCACATCCATCCTTTGGATAATCCATTCTCAAGATGTTTATAGGATCATCGTAAACCGATTATTTTATCTTCAAGACGATTACAATAAACTGGAATTAACAAAACTCCCATAATTTTTTAAAAATAGACTGATTTTATATGGCAATCATAAATATGGTAATAATGCATGAAAATGGTTTAAAAATGCCAATTTTACATAATCCTTCTCATTGAGGTGGATGCAATTTGCATCATGCAAATGGGTTTTAAGGTTGTTGCAAGCCTGTTTTCAAAACGTCACATTGGTGCTTTATCTAAATGTACTTGCTAAAACGCCTGGGAGACCACTGCACATGTTGATTGGCAGGAGCTGATGACATTACAACTCTGTTTTTGTGTTTTTAGTAATATATGACCTCCAAAAGTCCTTCAGGCTTTGTCAACACTCACTTAGCTCTCCTTATCACAAAATCTTTTGAGGATGAATTGAGATTTTATCAAAGGTTACAGGATGAAAGCTATCAGTCTATACCCTTCTTACAAAACATTCACATCTTAGTACTATTTTGTGCTAGGAAATAGCATGTGCATTGTGCATGGCAATTTTTTCAAAAATGTTTTCTTGATTATGTGCCTTAAAGGGGCAACAAGGACTGTATAGAGAAAATTCGAAAAAATTGATTTTTTTCTAAGCTATCAGCTATCAACATATGGCTTACATCTTCTTTGACAAACCTAATTTCTTAAAACATATGGATAAACTATCTATTTCAGCATTAAGAAGTGTAAATTCAGTTCAAAGCTTCTATAAAGGTTGTCCCACTTATAGATTTTTAAGATCAACCTAGTGTCAAGAGGAATATCAGCTGAAATAATGTTCATCCAGGGGGTGTCTTTGTAGATAATAAAAATATAGGTTAGTCTTGATGAAATATCCAAACTTAAGTATATTTTGACACTGGTGTTGATCGTTGAATGCCCCCCCCTTGCACGAATTGTTGCACCTTTAGTCTCAAAGCTGATTAGGATACCCTTTAAGCTGCTTACTGGTTAGTTAACAAAGGTCACCACAAAATATTTGAATGGATTGAGCTTTTGATGTGGGGAAGGGCCATTAATACTTATTTCATAAATTTTAAGTAGAGGGTGGTATGTGATCATACTAATGATATAGCCAACATGTACCATGTTTTGTGATATGCTAAAGATCAAATGTAGGTCATCAGGAGTAGTTTCCTGTGACTAACGTGTAAACAATACAAGTGGTAAAATGTTATTCTTATATATTATATGTTGAGGTGTTCAGAGGAACTGGCACCAATGTTTTAACTTTGGCAGTCAACGCACCATATTTTTAATTTAAATGTATTAAATTGGAATAAAAAAGAAAAAAATATTTTCAATGAACGTGCCATTCTGTTCCCTGAGATGTCTGAAAAATATAAAATGTGAGAAAATAAGATTTTGAGATATCTGACCAAATATGGAAGTTAAGTAAGGATCACTGATGCACATTTATGAGAAAATAGATATGACAAGTAAAGCAAAGTTGTAGGATTTTGGCAATTGTTAAGAATAATTCATTTTTGCTTTACACCTCCATGGGGTTGCTAGTTTTCTATAAGTGTTGGCCTTGAATAAAATTGAACTTGCATTGAAGTATAGGCTATTGAACTAAGGTTAACTTAAAGTACATTATAGTCCTTGTCCAGTCATATTATATAATAACACTCTATAGCTAGTGCATTACCTTGTCAATTGTATAATAAGACAAAGTATTTTTGGCTGTAACATTTAGTTGTTAAAGTCACCATTTAATGAAGCAATGTTAATATTTATTTAGTGTACCTTGGAAGTAAAATGTCAAGTCCGATTAGCTATTCATTTTCTAATATATGCCTTACAATTACAAATCACAGTATAACTGGAATAAACAGCAATGCAAACATCACAGAAATTATTTCAATTGAAATAACAATATTACATGGAACTGATATGAATGATATGGAATATATTAAAATACCTTTGACGCTGACGAATTAGGTACCCAGAATTTTGTTGAGTACAGTGTTTCACAGCACCCACATGTGCCATTATGATCACATGAACTCATTTGGTCAGCCTTATTTATAAACAAACATTTTTCTTACTTTGACCCACATTCTTAGAATTGTCGTGTTGAGGTACATCATTTACATATTTCACACATATGTTTTCCATATAAATTACTTCAGATTATTTCACAATTCAAGGGAATGTTTACTGTATGTAGGGCATAATCAAAGTGGTACATAAATGGGAATAAAGTAATCATTAGCTTGTTGAACAGGGGTCTAAAAGTCGGAACAAATCAAGGGGCCTTGGAGAGAAGCAGTGAACACTGGAAATCAGGATGCCAAGATCTCGTTTTTTTTTTCATTTTAACCATAATATGAAAAAGTTCTCCTGCACTACTGCCTCCTGTACGTACTGTCTAGCAAGCCTAATTTTGAAGATATAAAAATGTTGGTGACCAAAATAAGCCTGAAAACGATGGACTGCAAGGTGTTTTTCTTCTGAGAAAATAATATGGGATATGGTCCTTTTCAATTTTATCTCATAAATTTATTCTAATGAAGTTGCTTAAGTTGTTAAACTTTTGGAAGGGAGTGTAATAAGGCTTGTGTATATGTATTAAAGGGTGGTTGTCCAGGGATGAAGGGTTGAGTTACTAGGGGATGAATTGTACACTTTTGTACAGGGATTATGTTATCATTGAGTTCTCTAGGGGTTGAGTTCTTGAGGAGCTCAATTTTCATTGATTTTAACCACATTTGTAGATGTGATTTTACATAGAGATTTCAAATATAATTTCACTTTGAAAAGAAAAAAAATTGAATATTTAATGAAGTTAATCAAGATGATTTCTACTTGCATCTAGTCTATTACAGTTGATTTCTATAATCAAATAAATCTGTTTTGCCATGTTGGAAAATGATTTAAGCAACTTGTCAAATTGTTTGAATCATTATGCAAGAATATTCAACAGGCTTTTACAAGTTTACATTGTTTGTGTTGAGCTTCAAACTAAGTACATGTATTTCATACATTAAGTTCAAGTACAATATTGTGTATGTTTAGAATAACAATAATTTTTTCTCATGTAGGTAGTTGTGTTGAGTGTGTACAAGTCACTTCTGAATCTCTTAAATAGATAACAAAACAATAGGAGTGAACTGTAGTGGTATAGCCTCTATCTATTCACACATTATAAGCTAGGGAAGGTGTGTCCCATTCCAGCCATTCCGAACACAGTATTTCATATAACTGCACTGCATTATATATCCAATAACCCACCCAAGGTCATTCCTTGAATGGTTGTCAACTTGAAGGTTGAAATAAATCTTTTTGAGGTCCACATTCGAGTCCAGAGCTAAATCCTTGAATTATAGACACAAATAAATAATGAACAACAAATATGTTTTAAAACTCAGTATGGATCCCTGAATAAAAATAAATAACTGGGTTACTATGTCCCTATCATGCCCTAGATCAAATCCAAAAGAACCATATTTTTAAGAAATATATAAATGATTCAACAAAAGGCATTCAAATGTGTACTTAATGACTGAAATATGATAAATGTTTTATAAAATCTCAAGAATGAATATTCTTTTAATGATGGACCGGTGAATTCAAAGGGATTCTGTTCAATTTCATTGATTTCATAATTTCTAGAATAACAAGTTGCTCGACTCCCAAGGAGCATATGTCATGGTGCAATAGAAAGGAATTATAGCTATATCTAGACTGTATTTTAAAAAAGATATTTATATCATAATCATGTTTCAATCAATATCAGATATGTTGTTTGAAAGATAAGGGTATTCATACAATATGAATAGAATGTCTACCTGTCTACAACTCAGCCATTTGCCGAAAACGACAGCCTTTACCAACATATGTAATGATACTTATTCTAAGTGCGAGATGTCTAATAATCATTGTTTGGAATAGCATGTCCAAATGGCAAGTGATATATTGCATGTTAATGCCTTGTGTCTTATTATATTGTTCTTTGTTCTAGGTTTTAGATGAGAAGCACACATTACGAATCATAAGCAGGCTAAACAGAATCGTTCTGATATTGAATGTAAGAATATGTCATTCTTTTTTAAAATAATTTTCTTTAAGTATCATTTTTATTTGAATAAGATGATTTAAAAGATATGACCTTCTGGACCTAATATTGAATTTTCCTTTCATACTTTGGTTATAAATAATAAAAAAAATTAAACCTGTGTAAATGTAATGCATTGGTAAAATTAGTTACATGGAGTTGTTCCACTAACTTTACAGGTATATGTAATGTACCTCTGAAGAGTGTTCCTAATCTTAAATGTAAATAATGTCTGCCAGATATTAGAAAATAAGCCCTTAATTGAAATACCTTCAAAAGAATTTCCCAAACTTGCACAATATTGTATTATTTTATATAATGATTGAATTGGTTATAGAAATGAAATTAATTGAACCCAAACTCGTTGGTAAGCACAGTGATAACACAATTTTTTGTTTTATTTACTTTGTATGAAACTATTACCATTTGCGATTTTCAGAAAATAGAATTAACCAAAACGTCAGGATTTGTAAGTTATGGTCTCGTAGACACATCATATGCACTCTTATATCTGAGTCATTTTCTTATTTTCAGTTGCTGGTTGATCAGTTTGTCATCCTGGAGACAATGACTCCTTTAGATTTCATGGAGTTCAGGTAAACACCGCAGACTTTTGCGAATTTCACACCATAACACAAATGGGAAGAGAATTCTATTCTTTTTTACTAGATACTGCACTGGCTATCCAGCAATAAGTAGGCTTATAGCCAGCTTTGTCAAGGGGGTCAAATTTGACAATTTTGGCCCAAAATCCAATGAAAAGTGCTCAAAATGTTGAAAAACTGCATGCTTTTGAAAGATTATTTGGCCATGGGTCAGGGCTCTTACTCCCTGAACCCCCCCCCCACCTCTTACGAGAACACTGAATGCATGAAGTTCAGTATTGATTTTGTGAAGTAACCCCATCAGTCAGTCAAGCAGTCCAGTCTGTCCATTCATCTGGGCTAATTTTATGTACTGTAGTAAAAATATACAATGGTCAGTGCAATTGAATATTTATTTGTAAAATGACAGGAAGTTTAGGTGAAATTTGATTATTTCAAGCATAATTTGTAAACACGCTTGCTTATTTCAAAACCACCTGCATTATCACTCAAAGAAATAATATGATATCAAATATAACTAATACATGTTTTATATCTTGTATTTTAGAGGACACTTAGCGCCAGCCAGTGGATTTCAGAGTCTCCAGTTCAGATTGCTCGAGAACAAACTTGGAATAAAGCAGGTGAATAAGTCCATTTAGTTAGTTTAATCATAGGGATAATGATGTACTGTGTGTGTGTTACCATCATGCCCATAACCAGCAAATTCCAGGGGGTTCACATTTGACACCTTTGGCCCAAAATCAATTGTGAAGTGCTTAGATTAAAGGATGGACACCTAGTCGACCTCATAGGCCCGCTGTGTGAGCCAAAAACTGTATGATATTGAAAGAATTTTTGGGCAGGGAGGGGGCTGAACCTACCTTGGCTACGGGTCTGGTCATCCTAGAATATTGCAGCAAATAGTGTTCCATTAGCTGACATTCAAATATATTTCCACTTATAGGAGAATGGAAAAATTATGTATATGTATTCTCATGTTATAGGAGAACAGGGAGAAGGAGATTATATTAATGTATTTCATACCTACTGAGGTTCTAGGTACATAACGAGCGGGAATATATACTGTATCTAGCCAAGGCCCGGGGCGGGATGGATACACGCTGTATCCATCCCGGTCCCGCTCCTGAAATTTTTATTCACAATTTTTTCAAATATTTTTTTTCAAATTTTTTTTTTGAAAATTTTTTTCCCATTTTTTCTAAAAATTTTCAAAATATTTTTCACATTTTTTTCACATTTTTTTCACATTTTTTTTGAATTTTTTTCACATTTTTTTCAAAAATAATTTTTCACATTTTTTCCCACTTTCACATTTTTTTTTCAAATTTTATTTTTCAAAATTTAGAAAATCTCACAGAAAATGCATATCTTAAGTATATTTTTGAATTTTGGAACTTTATAAGGTATATGACGTACCTAGATCATCAGTAGGTATGAAAGTAGGTTTTGGATACAGGGTTTATCACTCGGGAAATATAGAGATTATCCTATATGAGGTTCAGGATATTGGGATTATCCCGAGGCCAATATAATATATTTGCCCGAGGGCCGCAGGTCCCGAGGGAAAATATATTATATTGGCCAAGGGATAATCCCAATATCTTGAACCGACTATAGGATAATATGTTTATCCCATACCAATCTTGGTCATCTGGTTAACATTGTTCAATCATGGAAATATTTTAGAATACTCATGTCCAGTTTTGTTTTCTTGGCCGTGGGCGGATTTTTCTGTTCTCTCAAATATTCCCATATTTATTTTCTCTAATTTTTGATTGATTAAGTGGATGCTCCTTCCCTTTTTTAAACCATCAAACAGATCCCGATAGTCTGTGTTTTCTCCATTGTCGTTTACAGTCATTACGCGAACGTTACAAATTATGAACAAATATGCGAGCTGCGATTATGACGTTGCGGGCAGATATACTATATCTGCCCGCTCGGAGCGGGACGTAAAGCTATATCTGCCCGCTGATGAAAATATAAGTTTTTACAAACCGGCTTTATGTACCTGTAACACGTCCAAGTATGGGATAAATGTGTTTATCCCATACTTGGACGTGTTACAGGTACATAAAGCCGGTTTGTAAAATCTTATATTTTCATCAGCGGGCAGATATAGCTTTACGGCCCGCTCCGAGCGGGCAGATATAGTATATCTGCCCGTTACGTCATAATCGCCGCTCGCATATTTGACTGTTCATAATTTGTAACGTTCGCGTAATGACTGTAAACGACAATGGAGAAAACACAGACTATCGGGATCTGTTTGATGGTTTAAAAAAGGGAAGGAGCATCCACTTATTCAATCAAAAAATTCGAGAAAATGAATGTGGGAATATTTGAGAGAACAGGAAAATCCGCCCACGGCCAAGAAAACAAAACTGGACATGAATATTCTAAAATATTTCCACGATTGAACAATGTGAACCAGATGACCAAGATTGGTATGGGATAAACATATTATCCTATAGTCGGTTCAGGATATTGGGATTATCCCTTGGCCAATATAATATATTTTCCCTCGGGACCTGCGGCCCTCGGGCAAATATATCATATTGGCCTCGGGATAATCCCAATATCCTGAACCTCATATAGGATAATCTCTATGTATCTCATACTAGTATGCGCCAAATCGCTTCCAAAGTGGCTTAGTTAGTCTAAACCGATGTTGAGGTAGATTACTAAGAAGTGGCCCTTAGTCATTATAGATTGGTTCATTGACTATTCATTTTCACTTGTCTGCAGTTAAAAAGGTGACACGAAAGGGCTAAACGGCTTGCCCCAAGGTGCAACCGTCAAAAATATGAGTTTGAAAAAAATCATGTTTTTCAAATAATAGCAGTGAGTATATGAAATAAGAGGCATATTTGATATTGATAAGTATGATAGTCTATTTGGGTGTGGTCGTTTTTATTAAAAACAATAATGGTGAAGAATTATATATTGCTGACCTTGAAATGCCATTTTAATGCAAAAGTCACTGTTGCTAATCATAATATTCCTATTTTACTTATTCAATGTTTTCTAAATGTTTCAATTACCATTATGTTAGTTTTTGGCAAAGTAAATAATTATAGGGGTCACACAAGGATCCACTTTATTTACAACTTTTTCATATTTAGTGATGTTTTGAAAAAATACTATGTTAAACACAATTTTATTTGTTAAATATTAAATGTAATGACCCTTACGGAAAATAAAAGCTGTGACAGCGCTGCCACAGCGCTGTCGCAGCGCTGTGACAGCATATAGGCTTAAACTGATGGCTGGATCAATTTCAGCGACAATGCTCTCACATCCATACGCTGCGAGAACGCTGTGAGAGCGCTGTCACAGCATTCTATTTCCATCCATCGCTGCGAGAGGGATGTGACAGTAATTAAGTGGCTTGATCAATTACAGCAACATGCTATATCTTAGCCAGAGTTTGTGGCAGCGCTCTCACAGCGCTCTCACAGCCCTCTCACAGCAGGAAGTACCAATGCATTGTGGGTTAAAAAATTCAAACTGAAAATCAGTTAGAGCAGGAAGTTTGTAAGAGGAAAAAGCAAAGGAATTATGCTGAAATGGCCATCATATCATTACTGATTTATAAAGCACATGTAAGGTATTGTACTACTGATTATTTATAGATACCTTTGGAATGTTCTAGTGATCTAAGGAAAAGGATCAAATGGTATGAATTTTGTGCAAGTTAGTACTGGTTAAACTAGAAGTCTGAAATATCAATGTATAGTCCATATAAACTATATGTCCATATAAAGACTTGCAGATGAACTTTGTAATTTCAGAAAATTCCAGGTTGGTTCACATTTGATAAGTTGAATGGGTTAAATGACTTTAAATATGTATGCAAAAATGCCAAAGGAAAGGACCAAAAATTGTTGCAGAACCCATCCAGACATAAGAAAAAAACATGTTGGGCCTGAAGCCAATGAGGGGGTCACCTTTGAGAAAATTCACTGTTGGTTCACCCCTCCTCCCTCTCCTGCCAGTCATAAGGAAAACAAACTCCAGCTAATTTCATGGCCAGTTCATTTAAATATGAATATAAATGAGTTGGTCATGGATTAGTAGGTTAATCCATCAGCCAACAACCAGCAGTTGGATTGGCAAATGTTAGCTAAGTCGATCAAGTCAAAGAGAGTAATTGTTTATGAAACTTGTCAAATAATAGTACAATAACGTCATTTCTAAGGGCAATATAGTGAATTATAGGGCCGAGGGCCGAATTAAGGCCCAAGGTCCAATATTTCACTATATTGCTCGCAGAAATGACGTTATTAGTACTATTACCACCGTTGACGCTCATGGCTGAAATAGCAAGAAAATCTTACGCATTGAACGATATCTAATTTCCCGGGGAAAAATTGCCGGTCCAGAATATATTCTAGACCGGTCCAATGGACCACCACTATGACGTCAAAAATTTCGAACGGAATGCGTGACATATACGTAATTCGCGTGAAAAGTCCGAACGAAATGCGTACATTTTTTTTCCGGCGTTCGTATTTTTGCTGTGTAGACGATCTTTTTTAGAAATTTTTCTACAGAAATATTTTTGCTTGACAATTACCAGGTAAAATGCGTATTTGCGTGACATTTTTTGTCACGCAAAAATAACTGGCGTGACTTCAAATTCTTCAGCAAATGCGTGACAAATACGCAAATTGCGGGACAGTTGACAGGCCTGGAACTGGCCCGGCAAGGTGGTAATAACTGGTAATAATGAAGGTTGGAAACAAAAGAAATAGCTAATAATTGCTCCCCTTAGCAGGCACTCCAATCTCAACCCATATTTTTAAAATCGTTTCTTATTAAAGTTTAGTCAACTAGTCAAATAGAGTTATTAATTTCGTTAATGGGATTTTATATTAATATTGGTATGTATGCAGCAAAAATAGTGACTGGCCAGGTTTAACAGTGTGACTGGTAAGATGTAACAGTTATTTTTTAATTTTGATTACCTATTACTAGTATTACAAGCCTAGAATCTACTTTTTCCATGCTGAATTTGAAATTTATAATTTGAAACGTTTTGTTGTTGTTGTTGTGTTGCATAAGCCGCTGTTTCCTCGGCAGTTCGTCTCGTGTACTGTAGATTCTCTTTGCGCTCTCTCATGTGCTTCAGTTTACACTTGTTGCGCAGATTTTGTATTCCATTATTTTATATATATTGTATGTCTTGATTGTCTCTCTCATAAAAAAAGAAATTATAATTATAATATTGAAACACTGTATTCAGTCACTTTCTGTTTATACAGCCACTATCTATTTATACAGTCACTTTCTGTTTACACAGTCACTATCTGTATTGTGTTTTTGGTTTGTTATATTCTTTTGGTTGTTTTTAAGTATGCCATTAACAAATGTCTCATACTTTGATTTTGGGTCCTGTTTAGTGATTGATTAAATCCTGAGAGCAATTTTAGGTCAATAGATGGGTTTTAAAGATATTTAAATTTATAGGCTATAGGTAATTAAGATTTATGTGTATGAAGGATACATAATCAATGCCATATATGGCAATGCTGTGACAGCGCTGTCGCAGCCTCATTTGCATGGTACATTCCGATGGGCTGTCACAGCGCTTTGAGAGCGCTGTCACAGCGCTGTGAGAGCGCTGTCGCAGCGCTGTGACAGCGGGCTGTGAGAGCGCTGTGACAGTGGGCTGCGAGAGCGCTGTGAGAGCGGGCTGCGAGAGCGCTGTGACAGCATGCTGTGAGAGCGCTGTGACAGCGGGCTGTGACAGCCAGTAAATTTGTATAAGGGCGATGTTTACGTGTTTGTTTCATTGTTTCAACTAAAAATCGCAATTCATGGCTCTTGCTCTTAGAGCTGCAGGGCATATACCAGTACAAAAAGTCTTCAAAAAAGTTGATCCTTGTGTGAGCCCTATGATTATTTACTTTGCCAAAAATGAATATAACGATTATTCAGATATATAAAAATCCTTTAATATGTTAAATAGGAATACAATGATTGACTTTTGAATAAAAAGGCATTATACATGTACACATATACAGGTATGTAGTTGTTTCAGTACAATTACCGCACCAAAGTGGACTATCTTTCCATATAAAATATCAAATGGGCCTTCTATTTGCATTTTACTGAAATTATTTGTAACAAACGTTTATTGTGATAAAGCAGGCAGTGATTTTGATACTTTTTTAGCTTGCAGACAGTGATCTAGTCGAGACAACATCTTGTAGTAATGGGTGTAACAGTAATGAGGCAGGAATTGATTTTATAAATGCAACTTTTGACAATTCTATTATTGATGGTTTATCTAACAGTTAGCCATTTTGTCCAACATTCTGCGTGGACGCCAAATTAAAAGATACCAATTTGCATCACATCAAGTTTGATTTGTTCACCGATGTTTGTCAGAGTGATACCTGTAGCAGCTGCACTAGACTGATATGGAACAAGATATATGTGAGCTTTCATTGCAACATTTACATTTAGAACAGTTACAATTTTAGTTAGTCTGATAGAAAATTATATAATTGAAGTATATTTCTTTGAGTTTATTCAATTCGAACATTACTTTTACATTTACAGATACCTTTGTTTTGAAACATTAGCAGCAATTTTATTTTCAAACGGTCAGTTTTCAACTTTGAATGTTTCATTTTTGTTCATAAAAAGTGTATTCTACAAAAGTCAAGGTCATTTCAAGGTACAATGTCAATATTTAGGTAGTTGGCTTTTTAAGACACCTGGCCGTTGATTTGACCCTCCACAACCAATGATTAGGTGACCTGAAATCAAGGTCTGAATGGATCAAGGAAATTTCAAGTTCAAAAGTTAATATCTAGCAAGTTGACGTGAGAACAATTGTGACCTTTGGTGACCAATGATAAGGTGATTTCAAGGTAGTTTCAAGGTCAAAGGTCAAATATCTAGGTCATAGGTAGTTGGCTACTGTGGGTCTTCAGTAACATTTGATCACCAAAGATAAAGTGACCTCCGGTCAATGTCACTGTTTATGGGTCAAGGTCATCTCACGGTCAGAGGTCAGTATCAGAATATTTGGCATTTTGGGGATGCTGTTTCATGTGAGGACTCATTGGTATGTGTTCTGAGGTCAAGGTCATTCCTACAAGGTCATAATCTCTGTATTTGGCATTTTGAGGCCCTGCGGGCTGCTATAACCCTTGGCAACTCAAGCTAAGGTGACATGAGGTCAAAGTAAATATCTATGGTTCAAAATTATAGTAAGGTCAAAGGTCAATATCTAGGTAGTTAGCTCATTTGTGGCTACACTGACATTTGATCACCAATGATAAAGTGACCTGAGATCAGTGTCACTTTATAGTGCAAGGCCAGAGATCAATATCTAAATATTTGGCGTTTTGGAGTGGCTGCTGCACTTGACTCCATTGTAACGTAACCTGAGGTCAAGGTCAATCTAAGGTCAAATTTCAATATCTTAGTGTTTGGCGTTTTAAGGCCACATGGGCTGCTGTCGTGATGTGGCCCTTGGCGACTCATGATAAGGTGACATGAGGTCAGTCATCATTTAAGGGTTCAATTCAAGATCATCACAAGGTCGAGGTCAATATCTAGGTTTTGGTGTTTCAAGGCATTCGGGAGATGCTGTGACGCTTGGTGACCCATTACTAGGCGACTTGGGGTCAAAGTCATTACTGATTGGTCATGTCAATTCAAGGTCAAAAGTCAATATCTAGGTATTAAGCCTTTTAATGCCTTTGGGCTAGTTCATGTCATGTATCAGAAAAGGTCAAAAGTCAATAGCCAGGTATTTGGAATTATTTTTAAGGCCATGTGGGGCTGCTGTGACAGACTCGAACAGTAGATTGCTAGTATTATAAAGATGCACAAGAATATGGCGGGAGGGTGGCAAAATCGTCTATTTTCTTTAATATGCAAATATGGAACTCTGTAAGGACCAGAGGGTTCCTTCGGGGAGTTGCGTGGTAATGCTCAGTGTGGGAACCAAACCTAGTACCTTCTAATCTAGATTCTGATGCTCTACCGCCTTAACTAGCAGCCACGCTACAATTATGGTACAAATTTGGTACTTCTGACTATATAATGCTTTATTATTCAAAAGTCAATTATATTATTCTTATTTTGACTATCAAATGATTTTCATATATCTGAATAACCATTATATTAGTTTTTGGCAAAGTAAATAATAGTAGGGATCACACAAGGATCAACTGTATTAAAGATCGGTCATACTGGTATATGCCCTGCCGCTCTAAGATCAAGAGCAATGAATTGTCATTTTTCAGTTGAAACAACGAAACAACACATAATCATTATTTTGTTGAACATTTAACAAATAATTTTCTGTTAAACGTAGTAATTTATCAAAACATCACTAAATATGAAAAAGTTGTAAATAAGTGGATCCTTGTGTGAGCCCCATTATTATTTACGTTGCCAAAAATGAATATAATGGTAAGTGTAATATATAGAAACTATTAAATAGGTAAAATAGGAATATAATTAATAGCAACCGTGACTTTTGCATTAAAATGGCATTTTAAGGTCAGAAATGTATAATTCTTCAATATTATTGTTTTTAATAAAAAATGACCACACCCAAATGGACTATCATACATATCAATATCAAATTTGCCTCCTATTTCATATACTCGCTGCTATTATTTGAAAAAAAAGATTTTTGTCAAACTCATCTTTTTGACGGTTGCACCTTGGGGCAAGCCGTTTAGCCCTTTCGTGTCACTTTTTTGAGTGCAGACAAGTAAAAATGAATAGTCAATGAACCAATCTATATTGACTATGGGTCAAATCATAGTAACCTACCTCAACATCAGTTAATGGGATTTTCTGGAGTTTTGGCGCACACTATACTTGAGTGGGTTTGAGGTAGATATCACCCGGGAATATATATTGTATCTGAGGAGCGGGCAGGATATATTGTATATGTCCCGCTCCAGGCCAAATGCGGACAGATATAATATATCCATCACGCTCCCGGGAATTTTTCAAAAGTTTAAAAAAGTTTAAATATCAAAAGTTTTAATGTTTTAATTTAAATTTTTTTTTTTTTAGTTTAAATGTTACAATTTCATTGTATTGAACAAAAATAATATTACGAAAATGTTAAATATAAATATCTTGTCATTTGAAAAAGGTGGAAAGGGTTATGTCTACCCTAAACCCACTCAAGTTTGAGATACACCAGTTATGCACGGTCGGTTTGGATACATGGAATATCCCTTGGGATATACAATACATCTTCCCTCGGTCCTTTCGGTCCCTCGGGAAGATATATTATATATCCCTCGGGATATTCCCTGTATTCAAAACCTCCCAGTGCATAACCCCTATATCCCTTGGGATAAAACCTGTATCCAAAACCTCCCAGTACATAACCCTTATGTATTTGTTTATTACAGGAGAACAGAGTGAGGTACAACCAACAGCACTATATGGAGGTTTTTCACGATGACCCATCAGTTAAAGCCCTGGAGGATTCCGTATCAAGTCCCTCGCTACTTGACCTTGTGCAGGTAATTGTTCATTAAAAAGACACATTAGGTCTTACATTCCAACTAATCTTTAAGTTAAGATTCTCAAATTTTAGAACAATACTCCATTAAACACAATACTCTATCTTCTAGTAGACTGATCAGTTTATGACTTAATTAATCTGAGAGAATTATTCTGATAGCACCTTGGATAATACATTCTAACTGAGTTAATCCTACACCTTTGATTAATTGTAATTAATTAATTGTATAAATTATGTTATATTTCAAGTTGGGTAGAGTTGTCTAGGGGATGAGTTGTCTTGGGTTGAGATGTCTTGGGATGAGATGTCATGGGATGAGATGTCTTGGGATGAGTTGTCTTGGGATGAGATGTCTTGGGATGAGTTGTCTTGGGATGAGATGTCTTGGGGATGAGTTGTCTTGGGATGAGTTGTCTTAGGGATGAGTTGTCCTGTTACCATTTATGATAGCCTTAGGATAACGCAATGACATGATAATACAAGCAATAATACAAGCAAATACAATCAATGTACACCTAACCAATGAAAGTCCAAATAATCAAAAATGGTCAGTTCATATCCTTGATATGAGTAATTCTACAGAGTAATTTTTTATTTTTTGGGGGGAATTTATTGCCAAAAAACATATTTATCTACATGGAATACAATTGTACAAAAGGAAGAATTTTTTAACCATTAACTAAGTGATTCATACACAATGAATTGTTACTTCAGAGCTGGCTATCAAGGACGCCTGGTCTTGAATTGGAAGGTTTCAACTTCTGGGAAAAGTTTGAACAAGCGGCTAATTGGTGGCTAGACGAGGAGTTTTACCAATCTGCCCAGGTAGGGTTTATTCATTTTATTTTGCACAATTATTGTAGATCAAGTTAAATCTGCCACCTTTTGGTAAATCAAAAAATCTATGATATATTGGCTAGATTGGTGATGTCAAATTAGGTTTAAGTTAATGCAGTAGGCCTATTTTTGACAAGTTGCAACCTACAACAGGGGCGGATCTGGGAACCAACAAGGGGGGGGCCCAAATTTCAGGTCAGAGAAAAAAACGTCCGCGCTTGGGCGGAAAAAAATTTTGGGCCCCTAAAACGCAAAAGTGGGCCCAAATTTTGAAATTTTGAGGCCCATTTTCTTCCAAATTTGGCCTGAATTTAAAAAATAAGGCCTTAAAAGGCCCAGTAATGACCTAAAAGGCCGACTTTTTGGGGGCCTTAAGGCTTTTTTTTGGCCCAAAATTTTTTTTGGGCCCAATTTTTTTTTCTGGGCCCACCCAAGGGCCAGGCCCAGGCCCCCCCCCCTAATCCGCCAGTGTACAATCAATGACATTCATCTATGCCAACATATAGATGCTTTGATTTCCCAAAAGGTGACCTGGTTTATTGGAAATGTCTGTTATACAATGAACATGAAGATTTCGTTGTCCAGATGTCCAGTTTATCAACATTGTGGGAGTTTGATTTCATGGAGTGGGTCAATCCTGAAAATCTGTAAAATACCATCATTGCATGCAGCCTATCTATCAATATACAGGGAAATGTATGGGACGTATAATGGTGTCAAAACTTGAATATCATTCAACAAAAGTTTTGTTGTAGGTGGTTGATGTTCGAAGATGTCTGTAACAAATGACATGAATAGCAGGTGGTGACATTTTGCATGTTAATGCCTTGTTATCAACTTGTTATATGCACCTAATATCACCATGATCATGGTATTTTTGATTGGGGCATTTAAACTGTATGAGTGATTTTTTGAGTGGTGTTATCAGGTTACAGTTTATTTAGTACATTTACACCTCAGATGTTTCAAAAATGCACTCGGGTAATGTTACATCCTGGCATGATACCAGCAAAAGGTCATGCGTGTCTAGTCTGCCTACTTGCTTAAAGAATTAACCCTTTCACAATGATAGGCTCCATTCGGGACTACGGATCTAGTCAGGGTGGCCATTGAACTTAGGCTACAGAATGATCACTTTTGGCACAAGCATATCCATTGTTTGATATACCACACGGTATGCATCCTGTTATAAATTCCATGATACCAGTTAGTCATTGTTACATTATTGTATGTTGTTCTTGTGATGCATTTTATGTTTATATCTATATGTTTATTTTATATTTTTATCTAAATAATTATTTTGCATATTGGTATTGTACATGTACGTTTATATTGCATAAAGATATTGTATGTTTATATTGTATTTTTACATTGTATGTTGTATTGTATTCCGCAGGACGCTACAGATCCTGATATTAAGAAGATGAAAATGGACGAATACAAGAAGCAAAAGGTACAATAGAAACATTTTTACTTGTGATTTTTTCTGCATTTTCCCAAGTAATAATAATTGTAAGTATGTGTAACATAATTAAGGTTTAACCCCCTCCCCCTTGTAACTAATGTCAAAATGTTGATCCGTCTAGAGGTAAATAGTGTTTTACCCCCTCCCCCTAATGTAATCAATTATGATTTTTGACAGACATTGAAATATTGACCCGGCCCCTAAAGTAATACATGTATGTGTAAGTTTGTGTTGAAGTCAAATCTTATCTCCCCGATGTTTAACTATGGAGGTTAAGTACCTGCAGTGGTGAAGAATGTGTGCAATGAAACATGTAACATCTTGGTCTGCTATCTATATAATGGACTATTTTCACCTCACTGGCTTTTATTTGACTGATTGAGTATGGAGGTGCAAGGAAAATAGTTGTTATAATGTCTAGAGGTGAAAGGTGGGTAACTATCGCTTGGGGTCATAATATTACATATTTACATTCAAGTTCTCCCAAATGTGTCTTACTTAACCTCTCTAGTATTACAGTAGCACCTCATGCTCTTTGATGTCCATGTATTGTAGTATGACTTTTGAGTTCCATTGATGAACTATTAAAGTGCAAGTTCGGTAATTTCCATTTACTTTTTCACACTTAAATAGATTCAATTAATATTGCAAAGTAAAAGTAGTATTCCTACAGATTCACAACTTATCCTGATTGTTTAATATTGGCAAAATCAGATTTCCTGGGAAAAACATGATGTTACGAACTGAACAGGTTTTGGATTTTAAATGGTAATACCTTATGTAATTAGAGTGTCAAAGTTCAAGAGTGTTTATATTAATACTGTGTTCTAATATTGGCAAGAAGTACCTACATAAACTCACCATATTATGGTTTAGTGTTTTTTTGGGTCATGGATTTTAAATGGCAATGAGTTATGTAAATAATGTCAACTCAATGTGCTTATATTTTATACTTTGCTCTGACTGGCCAGAAAAATAAAAACTTAAGGACCGGCTATGCAATACGCACCACAGGGTTCAGCGTGTTTATTGAGGTATTACATCTATCGCTTATTTGAGGAAAATCCTTACTCCAAAGAAGTCACAATTCACGCTTCCTCGCTTCATTGAATGCAATTACCACCAGTCACACAGATACTTTATAAGCACGTTGAGTTACTATAAACTTCCATAGTACCTTTCAACTTGTGTCATATAACACCTTTCTGCCTTTGACCACCTTCCTTGGAAATCGAAGAAAAAACATCAATAATTCCACATTTATTGAATTATTATATGTTATTGAATGTATTGTGCTTCAAATCATTCTTTAACGTTTTTATCGAATGATTTTTGGCCAATATATTTTACCTAGGAGATAATCACTAAGAAATATTTTGTATTCTTGGTATTGCTACTGAGATTGTCCCCTCTGCACCAATGTTTTCTGTATTGCTCCTGAGATGATCAAAGGGGACAAATCTCAATAGCAATACAGATTGGTACAGCACAAGAAATGACCAATTACAAGGCTTCATTTTACAGTTCATACAATATTTACATAAATTGTACCTGGATTGACTTTTTAGTAGTGCATTGATTACTATATTTTGACCCCATAATCACTGAACTGACACTTAAATCCTATTGACAGCCTGTGGCACATTATTCAGTCCAGTCCTAAGAACAGGTTTTCATACTTGACCTGGCATGGACTGAATGTTTTTGGTTAATGATTTATACCATGCAATGGATGGACATGTCAAGTATGAAAAATTGCAGTATAATTCAGAGTGGCTCGATTCTATCAAGGGGATAACTGGTCAACTGTGAAAAACTGCACTTATGCTGTGTCCATCCATTGTAGTATAATTCAGAGTAGCTTGATTCCATCAAGGGCATACCTGGTCAACTGTGGAAAGTACACTAGATGTGTTTAAGATGTCTCGATCTGTCAGGTGCATATTAATCAACCATTCAAACATGTCTATTAATGTTTGAGTTTGGATAATTATATTATTCTACCTTAGAAGGTAGAATAGAACTTGAAGCGAGAACTTGAATGAAAATACGTAATATTGTGACCCCCAGTGATAGTTATCCACCTCTCATATTGGTTTATGGTTTGGTCAGCTTGGTGGGTGATTTGGCCTCAGTATTCTTGTCTGTATACATTCACTTTAGAGCTTGGAAATTGATTTGAAATTTTCAGGAATGTTTCTTAGCTGCACAGCCAATATAATTCGGCGTCGTTCGGCATCGAAAACATTCGGCGCTGTTTCGACACTGTTCCGGCACCGAAACCTTTCGACACTAACATTTGCCACCGGACTAGTCGGTCCATTTGGTGCCGAAACGGCACCAAAATTTGGCACCGAAACGACGTCGAAAATCAGATTGCATTTTGGGGGTGTAAGTTAGGTTACTCTTGTAAACTCATGTATTTGGAATGTTCATAAGAGAAAAGAAATAAATAGTACATAGACATAGCTTTTCATTAGGGGAGTCAATTTTTAAGGCTCATCAGGTCATATTTCTTGCTTCAAACCTTAATTTAAATGTATGGGAGGGGCCAAGGCCTTAAGTAGGAACACTTTTCCTTGTATATAAGAAATAATGGCAAACACACGGTCTTTGAAGAATTTTCACATGAGTAAAATTATCGGATTGAATTTAGATTATATTTACTGAAGAACCCCTGAATTAATTTGTGTGCCCTTAAATTTATGTATCTTAGATTTAGGCTAAACCTCATGGATTTTCCAATGGTTTGGAAGAAAATTTCACAATCGGTATTCACAATCCAACCAAACATTCATGATCCATCTCTACTTTTGGCGTTGATTTTTTTGTCACTGCATGATGTGTGAACATTCAAAACATTTAACACTGTAGAGTAGGATACATGATTATTATGTTCATGTATTGCTGCTCCATTAAATCTTCTTGACATATTATCATATATCAGGTCATCATTATTAAAACAGCTGGAATATTGTGGGCAACTATGTTGCTTGCATGTCTCTTATGTAATGATACTATACAGTTAAATTAATGTAATGGCAACAAACTTTGTCCAGTATATCATACAAGGGGGAGTTCACTCTTAAAGTCCCCGTCTATAGTTTGAAAATATTTTTTGATCATTCATTTACTATTTGTCAGGACTTAAAAAGTGATTTTAGAGATTTTTGAACAAAAAAAAATGTTTGAAAAAAAAGTTGTGAGCATTTCATTTCTCAAATATTCAAATTTCCCGCCATTTTTCAAAAAAAGTTGAAATTTCTTAATCATCAAATATTTCTTAATGCATTTCAAAAAAGATTATCTTTTTAACACCAATGCAAAGGTTGAACAAAGGACACACTATTTCAATAATAAAATGCCATATTTAATGGGCCACTTCAATGTTTTAACATATCAAAAATATTTTGAAACATTAGTGATGTCACTAAGGTAACAAAAACTTTTTGAAAAAAATTGAAATTTTTTTTTCGATGTCAATCTTTTCTAAATATGTTAGACTTTCATAAAAAACCAATGTTGATTGTCTAACCAGGTTAAAAGGAAGAATAAATTATGTTTTAGATATCATTGTACCATTGGTTTCTATGAGAACTAAAATTTTGAAATGCATTTTTCTCAGAACCATTTTCATGCACTGATAAGTTCATTTCTCGCTTATTTATGAATCGATTTTCTTAATTTTTTCGGCAAAAAACATGGGAGGATGAATGCTATGCATTGATATGAATTGTGGCCAATTAGAAGATATGAGTGACCTCTAAAAGTTGGTTTTAAATAAATTCACAAATTTTGGAACAAAAAGTCTATCAAAAACCACTTTTTGAAATTAAAAAAAAAAGTTTCCCATATCACACTTTGATAACATTGGGTAAGACTACAATATAAGCCAAAGTGGTTTAAACTTTATATGGGGCCTTTAAAGGATTTTGGTAGGTATATGTGCAGCATGGTCAATTTTGACCATGCTGCTTTTTGGGTCAAAATTCAGTTTTTATACAAAAATGATATCAAAATAGTTAAATCAGTTGCCGAGGCCTGGGACAAATCACTGGAAAAGAATATTTTTAGTGAAATAATGATATTTCATGTTTAGTCCCAGCAAAAACCAAAGGAATACGATATGGACGTATCTGTGAAGTTGAGAATCTGGAAAGAATTAGAGATGTAAATCTTCTTAAACCAAAAATATTTTCCCATTGAAATAACTTAGGCCCCAGACCAAAATTGTTTTTCAGATTTAAACAAAAGTAGAATTATGGAATTGTACTAAAACCTTCCATCAGAATTACAAGCAACTAAAAGAAATCTAAAAGATATTTTAATGCATGTTGAACTTTAACTTGCACTGTCAATCGCAGGCAATTGAACAATTCTTAACCTAATAAGTAGCGTGAATTTTTTTGGCAGCCGGCAAATGGTATAAAACAGTTTGAACATGTTTGAAAAGTGATTTAATCAGTCAACCTAATATACTTTCCTTTTATATACTTTGAATCACGTATTACATAAACCACTGACTTAATGGATATTAAATACAGATTTAAACCCAAAACTAAGCTATTGTTACAGTGTTACAGCACACCTATTTTTAATTTTGGAGATGATGATTTTAAGCACAAGGCTCTTGTATAAGACTTGAGCTTTGATGAGCATCTTTTTAAGTTTTCATATTTTCGTATGTAAAGTTTCTATCCAAGTCTAGATTATATATGTTGCACATACATATTACATTTTTATGTCACCAATTGATGCATTTGTAACAAATGGCAGGTTGTGACATTTTGCATGTTAATGAGTTGTATTTGAATATTCTAAGATCAGAGTAGCTTGTGGACAGCATCTATGTTTATTCATTAATGCCTTGGTTACATTTGCTCCGATTCATCGACCGATTGAATATTCTGTTCAGAACTGAATACAGTTGTGAACAGGATACTCAATCGGCCGGGCGCCGGCCGATGAATCCGAGCAAATGTGACCAAGACATTAACTTAGATGCTGTCCACAAGCTACTCTCTGTAACAATATATATCACCACTTCTTGGTGTAATGATGACAATAAACTTTATTGTCATCATCACACCAAGAAGTGGTGATATTTGTTACAGTCACATTTTAAGGTGGTACAGTTTCAAGGTGGCACAGTTTCAAGGTGGTACAGTTTCATGGTGGCACAGTTTCAAGGTGGCACAGTTTCAAGGTGGTGCAGTTTCAAGGTGGCACAGTTTCAAGGTGGCACAGTTTCAAGGTGGTACAGTTTCAAGGTGGTACAGTTTCAAGGTGGCACAGTTTCAAGGTGGTACAGTTTCAAGGTGGTACAGTTTCAAGGTGGTGACAATTTGTCATATTAAGTCTTATTTTACATCGAAACATTCTTTGGATTTTTTGTAGGAAACATTTGAGTCTATCTTTAATGAGGAGGTCTATGAGATGGCTATAAAGCGTGGTGAACGTCGCCTCTCCCACAAGGCATTCCAGGGTGCGATGATGATTTTCCTGTATCGCGATGAGCCTCGTTTTCACCAGCCGTCTCAATTGCTATCTTTACTGATGGACATTGACTCCCTACTGACCAAGTGGAGATGTAAGTACACACCTTGGAAACTATATGTTATATTTAAAGGGGTAACTTAACTTAACAATACTTTTTCCTCCCAATATTCCATGTCATGCCTGTTTCCTAAAATTTTAACTGGTTCTGACTTTATTTCTACATAATTGGCAATAATCTTGGAGAAGGAGGCATCTATTTTTCGATTCTAATGAATTTGCTATGCTCATACTTATTTGTGAATATTAAACTGACCTTTAAGCCATTACTATTTTGAACCAATCATATTTGTTTTAGATAATCATGTAATGCTGGTTCAAAGAATGTTGGGAAGCAAAGTGGGCACAGGAGGTTCATCAGGGTACCAATACCTTCGCAGTACTGTCAGGTAAGGAATTGTGGGATACATCATCCTACTTTGTTTGGTGGAAGTTCTCGCCATGGTGATGAATTGTGACACAACACATCTTACTAACACCTTATAGGACATAACAATTAAGATAATCTAACTGCTATATAATTCACTTCTTTTTAAGAAGATTATCACTACTTTTTAACTCATAACAATAGAATATATTGTATGAAACCTTTAATTTGCACACACACCAGTGACTTAACCAAATGCTATAACTCATGTTTGTTGCACTTTAATGGTGTACATTATCAAAAGAATTTTGTTTAAGAATTTCTATATCTATTATTTTTTTACTATGACAATTATGATCTCCATGGTTACAATAATAGATTTAGAAATCGATAGCCAAAATTGTTTCGGTAATGTACCTCCATTTCTACATTATGCTAACAAGTAAATTCTTTTCTCTTTTGATCTTACAGTGACCGGTACAAGGTCTTCCTTGACCTGTTTAACCTCTCGACATTTCTTATTCCACGTGATTTCATCCCTCCTCTTACATCTGAGATGAAACGCAGGTTGTCTTTAATAGAAGTTCCAACTTACAACTCGCTCACTGACGTAGATGCGTTCTTGCGTGTTCGTAACAAAAACAGTGAGAAGTTTTTGCGTAGCAGAAGTTCAAAGTCAATCACTGAAGAGCAAGATATCGAGGAACACGCTGAGTTCTTTTAATTTGACATTTGATGTCAGTTGATGTCAGCTGGGTCTGATGTCATAGGAGTGTGACGTTACTCCAATCTAGTGATTCCAATGTGCAATCACCACAACTGTACAATTTTAAAATTTGTAATGACAATTTTTGGGGAAAGTCAGCACAAAATACACTGTATCTTGCACCAATAACATCTATGTAATTAAACAGGCCCGTTCGAAGGATTATCCAAGACTTTTGCGTACGAATGGATTGTGCCGCAGACACACCAACGCAAAGCTCTTAGAAAAAATTTGAAACTTAGACCCTCTCTGGTACATTTTGAGCATATCCGAGAGCCATATTTATTCATTAGATACAAGTCCCTAAAAAATGTTTGTTTGAAAAGGGGGGGGGGGGGTTGGGCAGTTTCCCCCAATGTCCCTCCTCTTGGGACGGGCTTGTTAAATAAATGCACAACCTAACATTACTTTAAATTCACTATTCACATGGGTAGTACCCAGTTGAGCTACAAAAGGCCTTGGATACTTCCTATGAATATATTATCCAATGCTTTATCGCATACTTCTGTAAAATAAAACTTGTCTAAGTGGAACACCTTTGGTACCTCTAGATAGTGTTCCACTTGTGAGGTGTTCCACCTGTAAAGGTTCATTTAACATTAAGTCAGTTGTTCTTGGGACTCTGAAAAGTGTTCCACTAATGGAGGTGTTCCACTTTACAGGATTCACTGTACTTCCTAATACACAAAGGTAAATGTTAATTGAGTGGGTTATATATCCAAAGTGGACTCAGGTCATTTAAAACGGCCCACATTGCCAAAAGAAAGCTCTCAAGAATAAAGTTTTTTTGCACTTTACCCCTTATTGCCCAATGTCATAGAGCAGCAATATGTGCCAAAATTAACAAGTGAAATGTCATGAATATGATTTAATTGTGTCCTGCACACAAATGTGGTTCCCTTTGGGACAATCTTCTTTATTTATGAATCATATTTAATACCTAATTATACTTTTGCAAAAACAACCTACCAAAACTGAACTGAACTGAACTTAATTTATCAAAATACTTCTGATTTATTTCTTTATGCGCCAAAATGGAAAAATCTTTGAAGTAAGAGTTTTTAAAGGTGTTTTAATTGACCAGATTCTAATAAATACCCAATTATATGCTTTCAGAAGTCAATTAATTTTACATTATATGGACCATTTTATATTACTGAGCAATTTAGAGCCTTTTATGTATGTTTATACCTCACTTCTTTTGTTTGGACCAATCGCCTGAAGTGACGCCTGTCCAGGCATTTTTGCCCAACCAGGTGTTACAATTAATTCACTCAGGTGTTATATGTGATCAGGGATTCGGTACTTAAGTATTTTATAACCTATTTAATTGCGACTAGTCATGCATATCTGTGATCACACTGAAAAGTGTATTGTTATATTGAATGATATATGTGAATTTTGAACTTCACATACTAGAATAATATTGTGTAAGAAGCAAATGTACACCATATTTGGTATGAGTGGGTGTTTCATATTTCCAAGAATATCCAAGGAGGATTGGCTCCCAGGATCGAAACTCAATATTTTCCAATTATCGTTATTTTCTGAAATTAAAACAGGCTATAACTTAACTTCAAAATAAACAGTTCTAATCTTTTGAATCAATATCTTGATCATTTCTTGTGAGTTTTGGTATTTTTTGTTAGGAAATAAAACCAAAATTCACGATTCAAATGTTGAAGTAAACAAAATGTCAGCAGTTTGAATTCAAATTTTGTATCAAGACATGCCCATATATGGGACAGAATATCGATGTTGCATTCTGGGAGCCAACCCTGCTTGAATATCTATTGAGTGTATAATAATTGTTTGAGGCAGCAGAAAAATACTCGATACATTTTTGATATTGACTGGTATGAACTATTAGTGTTATAAGTAAGACACACATGAGGACCAAATGAGTTTATAACCCCAGGGGGGGCGGTTTTACCAAGGGGGAGCTTTTGTCAAGGGGGGGGGGGATTTTTGACAGTTTTTGGCAAAAATCATGAAAAAAGTGCTCAGAATGGTGAAAAACTGCATGATTTTGAAAGAATTTCTGGCCAGGGGGGCCTCAATCCCCACTGGCTACGTGCCTTACTTTAACCATTTATTATCTACTTAACTTATTTTAATGGTACAGTGCATAGTGACAAAATGTCACATTGGTACACATCAATTTATTCAATTGATGACTATCATCAATGTAAAAAGTCATTTTTATTTTTTTGTCAAAACAGTCTGGGTTGTTTTCTCAATTCTTTCTAAAAATAAAATGACAATTACATTGAACGATTTTTTTAAAGTACATGTATATGTACGTGTGAATGTTACCTTTCTAAACTCTGAATGAGGTTAGAAACTTAATCACGTATGTTAAGGTCAAATAGTCAAAGAATGAACATGTGCCCAATTGAAGGAACACGTGTCAGCTTTGTTCAGGCTTCACACACGTGTATAAGTTTATTTTTGAATATGAAAATAAAAACCTATATACTTTGAGTTATAACTTTGATATTATGTATGAAAACATTCCATTATAGATTTATATAACCATATTATCACCGTATTGTTACCATATGTAGCATTATTAACATATGTGTACATACTAAATTCGTTAATTATTTTGCAATGCTTGGAATGCTTTAAGAATTGCATGACTACTCTATTTTTTAAGTGCATCAAAACTATAAACTACAAATAATGGAGGGTATTCTTTTGAAAGTAGTAATTATTTACATGGGAGTGCATATGTACTATAAGTGAAATTTCAAAAATTTCAAAAATTGAACAATTTAAAGAAACATAGTTTTGATGATGAGATTTCCTTAGTCCTTGGTGGTCCGTCTTAAGATGTCATCAGCCAAAGAGAGACTTTTGAGAGGTGTAGGATTATCAATCGTATATGAAGGGTATGCTATGCACCTTTCATAGGTTTGTGTGAGACCCTCCATAAAGGAAACAGTGGGGATTTTGACAAAATAAAAATCATCCTAGGACTAACTTTCCCCATCTTGGGGCAATAATAGCTGGTCAATATTCTGATTCTCGAGAATAGCCATTTCAAAATTCCTTAAATCTAGGACAATACTTTGTGTCAAGTTCCTTACCCATTAAATGGTACATACATAATATTTTCAGCGTCGGATCCAGAAATCAACAAGGGGGGGGGGGGCAAATTATGAGTCTGGAAAAAAATGTTGGGCCCTAAAACCCTAAATTGTGCCCATTATTTGATAAATTGGCCTTAAATAGGCCTAAAAACCAAATTATGTCCAAAAAGGCCCATTTTTGAGGCCCTTCAAAACTGATTTTAGTGAGCTCACGATTTTTATAACATTAGCATTTGAATATGTACAAATGGTTTTAGGCGGATGTAAAGATGGCAGCAGTAGATATAGACACATTTGATTTCAACACTGCCATCTTTTAACCATTATTACTACTGCCGATGTGCCCCTGTCCGATACTATATAATTGATGAATGAACTATTGTCAGATACAAGGAAGGAAAAATCATAGACTTGTAGACGTTTTCTTCAGATTACAGATATTTTTGTGAATTACTATTTTTTAAACTGCTATTTCTTCACAACACTGCTGTCATATACTGTGAGAAAACTTGTAATGCAGAATTTATTATTCTATATTTATAAATAATATAAAATGATTTGATCATTTGATTAACATAAATATCTTGAAAAACAATATATATTTACACTTGCAAACCAAATTTGTCTTTTGTTTGAATATTTATTAAAATACTGTATATACATGAAGCAAAATATAGCACTTAACGGTAGCACCATTTCTAAAACTACAACAGTAAAACTCCCATTATTTGCATTTGGTCAACTCAGATCCTAGTCAACTCGGACCAAGTTATATTTTGCTATACTAACGGTGAAACTTGCTAAATATTATGAATATTTGGAATATTTCAAGATTTATTTTTTTTATTTATAAATGTAATTTCTAACGAGTCAAAAAATTTTGGAATAATATTTTTTAACAAATGGATTAGATTTTTGCCTGGGATGCGTAACGCCATTACATATATGATAAATGCATTAGTAGTTTATGTGTATTTTAACCAATTTTATTTACAAACCCATTTTCTAAACCTTACTGTCTGCTAGTATATTATAATCCAAGTTATCTAGGGTCTGACTCTGCCTTGAGTCAACTTAAATTAGGGCCCAAGTTGATTATAATCCAAGTTAACTTGGGTCCAAGTTGACTAGAAGCAGATTTGTTATGTATGTTACACTTCTGTAACCATTTACAATTATATAACAGGTGGTAATATTTTGTTTTTAAGTTTCTAACTAATTTGCCCTAAATATCGCAAGCAAAGCACTCTCTCATTTTGTTTTTGACACTCCTGGGACTAAAATAAAGTTATTTTTCATTCAGTTTAGCTCCCATGGGCATTAAAACCTGTGGTGTTTCACCATAACAGAATCCTTCAGATCTACATGATGTATTTTTATATTGTTTTTATACTATTCTTATTATCTTATATTTTTATTGCAGTGACCGTTACAAAGTTTTCGTAGACTTATTCAACCTGTCTACATATCTGATACCAGTTAACTACATACCGCCACTGACCTTCATTATGAAAACGAGGCTCTCCATAGCAACAGACAATCTAGCAGACCTCATCAATCATGTCAATCTTGAGAACGAGGCTAAATCAGAAGGAAAACAAAAAACAATTCGGCAGACTTCGCAATCAAGTTCAGCAAGTTCGTCAGTTTTGGAGGACAGCATGACATCTCAGTCTTCCGAGGATATTGAATCTGAGATATAATCTATGTGGAAAACCTCATGCCCCAGGTCCTGGGTGAAATCATGGGCTCTACCACCCATGGGCTCTACCACTGATAGAGCCCATGGTGAAATGAATCTGACTTATAATCTACTGTAATGAGCCTGGATAGAAAGTGGTGATGAAAGTCTTTATAGCCCTGCATCAGACTTGAACCAGAAAGTTCTTTATTTGCACAGTAAGGAGTCAATTAAATTGTATGTCAATCAAATATTAAAAATAAGCAAAACACTACATTTGTACATGCAAAATGTTTGTTTAGTGAAATATGTGGCCTCTTGTACCTGATGGTTCTCAAACATGTTATTTTCAAAAAGATTAATATAACTGAATCTCCCCGAAGGAGGCCATAGGTCTGCATATGAAACTATTTTATCTGAAATGCACAAATGTTTTGCATCTAAAATATTGATGTATTTTTCCATAAAGTATTGTATGGACACACATAATCCTGTAGTCTCATGACGCATCATTTATTTGGACTAAATGACACCCCAAGGGGTGCATGGACATACATATATGTACATATATGTATGTTTACATATGATGCACAATTGGGAGATATTGATGTATAAATAAATAGGAAGTTTATTTCATAAAAATGGTAATATATAGCTTATTTAGTACATATATATATATTCTATTTTTATATAAGCAACAAATGATACAGAGGAGTTGAGATAACATTATTTCTTATACCGTTTTATCATCTCAAATCTTATAGTTCTTTTCAACATTTCAACAACTGTATCATATGTTGCGTTTTTAATCAAATTGTTGCACATCAGTCAGAATATGGGATTTTGTGTTATATTGCAGTACATTCACTATAAATTAATCTTACATGCATAATGCTTGTAAATGGACATGTAGTACATGTATATAATAAATGTTTTTAAAACATTTGTATTAATTAAAATAATAGGTGCTCATCTGTCAGAGAATGATTTGTATATTTTTACATCTACAGTACTGTACTATAAATTGAATTAGAATATGGATTGCTCATAAATGTTTCTATTAATATGTAGCCATGGGCGTAGCGCTATTTTTCTAAGTAGTACGCCACCACGGGAGCCTGCATGGGAGCGAGAGTAGAGAGAAACAAAAAACAAGTCTTTAGGGGGTCATTTTGGTTGTATTTGGAGCGAATTTGCAACCATCTGGTACGCCTGTGCGTACCCAGCGTACCAGACGCTACGCCCATGGTAGTGTGTAATTTTAGAAGAATTTGTATTAGTTTTTGAGAGTAATTACCAAGTTCCTTGACCACTCTTTTTTATTATACATGTATGTTGTCAAGCAATGCTTTTAATAGCCCAGTCTTTATTTTTCAAAAGCTGATAATTTTCATCACTAGCTGTATGCTTCAATCGATTCTCACATTCATGCCCTATGATCTCTTAAGGTCAGAAACTTGCGGCAGTATCAAATTGCAGAGGTGTTCTCATTTATTTTTGTGTTGGTCAATTCCAGCCAATATTTCAAAATTTCCACTGTCTTAAATCGGGAGAAAATGCGTCTTGTTAGGTTAAAATATTTCCAATTGTACATTTTACAGCCCTGAAGTTGATGGCATTCATATTGAAATACCCAACCAGTATATCAGAGTTTCAACTGTCTTTAATTGTGAGAAAATGTGTCTCATTAGGTCAAAATATTTCCAATTGTACATTTTACAGCCTTGAAGTGATGGCATTCATATTGAAATACCAGTATTTCAGAGTTTCAACCGTCTTTGATTGGGAGAAAATGTGTATCGTTAGGTCAAAATATTTCCAATTGTATATTTTACAGCCCTGAAGTTGATGGCATTCATATTGAAATACCCAACCAGTATTTCAGAGTTTCAACCGTCTTTGATTGGGAGAAAATGTGTCTCATTAGGTCAAAATATTTCCAATTGTACATTTTACTGCCCTAAGTTGATGGCATTCATATTGAAATACCCAACCAGTATTTCAGTGTCAACTGTCTTTAATTGTGAGAAAATGTGTCTCATTAGGTCAAAATATTTCCAATTGTACATTTTACTGCCCTGAAGTTGATGGCATTCATATTGAAATACCCAACCAGTATTTCAGTGTCAACTGTCTTTAATTGTGAGAAAATGTGTCTCATTAGGTCAAAATATTTCCAATTGTACATTTTACTGCCCTGAAGTTGATGGCATTCATATTGAAATACCCAACCAGTATTTCAGAGTTTCAACTGTCTTTAATTGTGAGAAAATGTGTCTCATTAGGTCAAAATATTTCCAATTGTACATTTTACAGCCCTGAAGTTGTGTTCATATTGAAATATTGGCTAGGTTTATTGATTCAAGAAATTGACATGAACATGCAATTTGAAATTGCCACACCTTTCCGACTCAAGTGAGGTAAGAGATATGTGTATGGTCAATGCCAAAAATGATCAGCTTTTAAAAAAGGCTGAACCATCCATTGCTCTAATCTTGATCGCATTTCAAAAATATTAGTGTTTAAGGACTTTGATGATTATTAAATGATAGCTGTGTATCAGTCAGACAGAATGATCTGCATTGGAATATCTACTATATACTGTATAATACTTTATACCATGGTCAGGGCAATAGCAGGTATATAATAGCAAGTGATAAATCACATATTTGGGACAGGGACGATATCAGGGATGGTATCGGGATTAGGGGGATGATATCAGGGTTGATATACTACTAAGTATGGGATAAACAGTGTTTATCCCATACTTAGTAGTGTTATATGTAAATACTAAATAGCATGCGGGAATATACTTGTATAATTGATATCTGAGGTGAGCGGGTGATATATATCTCCCGTTGAGGTTAGCGGGAGATATATATATCACCCGCGCAACAATTCCCGGGAATTTCGTTTTATGTTAAAAGTTTTTAAAAAACAATGAATGTTAAGACCTTTACATTTAGATATGATATTTATGTTTTGATTGTAATTATCCCATCGAACGAAGTTTGGAGGGATATAGGGAACGCCTCCGTCCGTCCGTCCGTCCGTACGTACATCCGTACGTACGTACGTCCGTCTGTCCGTCCGTCCGTCCGGGCAATAACTCAAATACTGTTGGCCCGATTCTGTTTATATTTTGTACACATATACCTAATGGGGGTAGAAGTTCTGCTCAAAAAACAATTTTCAAAATGGCCGCTCATTTAAAAATAGCGGCCATTTTAGTGCCCATTTTACAGTTATTTAGGTTCTGCATATAAAACTGTAATAGCCATATGTTTTGAATGTAAAAAAGTTATATAGGACATTGATTAAGCTAGAAATGTAAATAAAGAAGAAATACATGACAGCCATCTTGAAAAATGGCTGCCTTCGCACGTCATTTTACGATTTTTGCTGTAACTTGAAAAGTAGTGGAGCGATTTTGTTCATATTTGGTATGTGAATACTTGAAGCATGGCACAATGTCTAATAACATTTTGGGTAGTATGCGGCCATTTTGAAAAATGGCAGCCATTTTTACGTGTGTTTTTTAACATTTTTTACTGTAACTCAAAAAGTAGTGGAGCGATTTTGTTCATATTTGGTATGTGAATACTTTAAGCATGGCACAATGTTTAATGACATTTTGGGTGCTATTTTACATTTTTTACTATTACTCAAAAAGTAGTAGAGCGATTTTGTTCATATTATATTTTGTTCATATTTTATATGTGAATACTATAGGCATGGCACACTGTCTAATGACACTTTGGGTAGTAGACGGCCATTATGAAAAATGGCCACCATTTTTTCGTTTTTTACTATAACTTGAAAACTAGTGGAGCGTTGTAAATACTCATGAGCCTTGCACACTGTCTCATGATACTTCGCATAGTAGGCGGCCATTTAAAAAAATGGCTATCATTTTTACTATAATTCGAAAAGTATTGGAGCGATTTTGTTCGTATTTGATATGTGAATACTTTAAGCATGGCACATTGTCTAATAAAACCTTCGGGAGTAGTCGGCCATTTTGAAAAATGGCCACCATTTTCATGTGTGTTATTTTACATTTTTTATTATAACTCAAAAAGTAATAGAGCGATTTTGTTCATATTTGATATGTGAATACTCGTAAGGATTGCAAATTGTCTTATGACATTTTGGGTAGTAGGCGGCCATTTTAAAAAATGGCCACCATTTACATGTGCGTGTGTGCAGTTTTTAAAAATTTTATATGTGGCTACTTAAAAGCATATTACTTCTCCTGATGACAACTCAGCTAGTGAGCAATCATTTTGAAAATGGTGGCCTTTCTTATGTGTGTCATTTTATGATACATAATAATAATGTATTTGCTATATATTTTGTTTGTAAAAATGCCAGCCATTTCTGTTCGATGGGATTCGCTACGCTTTGGCATTGCCGTTGTTCTGGTTACATTTATTATTACATGAGGGTTCCACAACATTCAATGCGTACTTAAATATAGTCTACTAATCTTCAAAATCTACTAAGTATAGGATAAATCTGGTTCTGGCTAAAAGTATAGAATAAATCAGTTATTAAATGTTCGATTTTTGATACAGGGTATATTCCTCGGTAAATACAATATATCTAGATAGATATATTGTATTTCCCTCAGATATACCCTGTATCAAAAACCTCCCATTAAATAACCTCTATGTATGTGTACAATTCAATTCAATTTATTTTATAATTGTTAAACAATATCTATATAATATAGAGCCACCAGACAACCAGAAACATATGTTGCAGTGAAACATAATTTAATTAATAATAATTAATTTAATTAATTTTTAGAATTTAAAAAATATAACACACTCTTAATGACAGAGACTCAACAGTCAGCGGGAATGACTTGTTTTTTATATCTTCTGTATATTGATTGATTGATTGATTGATTGAAAATGTTCATGTTTATTTGGCATGTTTATATATTTTTACAAGAGCATGTATCTTGCATATTTATCTTGTTTTGACAGGTATACTAGATTTTAAATATATTCCAAGTGTTCTACTATACATTGTATAGATTCATCCAGCAGTTTGCAACATATTGTATTACCAGAAAAGCCCAATGGACAAAAATAGACAACTTACCCTTTATCCTTTTTAAATGTGGTCACTTGGTAGGGTAGTGTGCTATCAAAATGGCTTTTTAAAAAGGCTCTATGAAGTATCTTGCACATGTATTATCTTTTGAGAAGATAAACACTAGTCAATGAAAGGAGTACTCCTTGCAACCCCATTGCTTGGTGCTAATTCCTAAAAATATGGATTAAACTAACATTTTGGAATTTTACTTATCAGTCAGATATTGACTTTACAATTCAAGCTGTGAATCATCTCTTGAAGGCCCGTGGTTATATATATCTATTATATCTATATATTATATTATAGATTTTTCAGAACTTATGGAACGACCCTCATAATTTTATATATACCTTTTACAGAAGTTAAAAAATAGTGATGCCATATGATATACTGGGTGTCACAAAAATACCACCCACAAATTTTGGAATAACTCTCAATAATTATCGGATCTACGGGATTTTTTGTGTAG